AAGATATTGTATTAACTGTTTACGGTCAAATCATACTAGCAGTAAATGTAAATCAAATTTATATTGTAAAATATGCAAGAAACGTCATCATTCATTATTACACTTTGAAACACATAAAACTGAATCTCCTACTATGCAAAATAATATAGCTTCATCTTCTTCTTTTAAACCTTTAACTCAATCTATTACTATGCATTCAAAAGCTTCTTTAAATACAAACACTACTGTATTATTATCAACAGCGCAAGTATACGCGTTCGGTGATAATGGGAATAAAACCATAATTAGATGTCTTATTGATAGTGCATCACAAAATAATTTAATTTCCATTTCTTGTTGTAAGAAACTTAAATTGAACATTATTCCCATAAGTAATTCGTATATTAATACAGTAGGTTCTATTAAAACTCCAATGAAAGGATATGTTTCTTTAACTATTCAATCACGAATATCATTTGATAAATACAATATAACTTTAATTGTAGTGGATAGTATAACTGAAAAATTACCAACAACTAATATAAATACAATATCATTAAATTACCTAAATAATGTTTCTTTAGCAGACGAATCTTGGAATATACCTGGTGATATTGACGTCATTTTAGGAGCTCAATTATTTCCAAACTTATTACTAACAGGTCGTATTATTCCCCCTTCTAATTTAATTGCACCACAAGCGCTTGAAACTACACTTGGGTATATTTTAATTGGTGAAGTACCCGTTAATACGTTTTTTGATAATTCCTTTTCACATTTTAATCTAAGTTGGACGTTTGGGCCAATAACAAATGATAATTTAAATGCAAATTTAACTAAATTCTGGAATTTAGAGGAAATTCCAAATGATCACATACAAGATTCAGATGAATTATTTTGTGAGAATCTCTATAAATCATCTTTTTTAAAAGATTTTTCTGGTAGATATATTGTAGAACTACCATTTAAACATGATCCTTCTTTATTAGGTAATTCTCATGCTATTGCTAAACGTCGATTTGTATTTTTAGAAAGGAAATTTAAAAGAAGTTTAGAATTACGTCAAGCTTATAATGAGGTAATAAAGGAGTATTTAGATAAAGGATATTTATCTGAAATTTCATATTCTGATGAAAATATTAATAGTGGTTATTTTATACCACATCATGCTGTTATTAGACTTGATAAAGTAACAACTAAAGTTCGTGTGGTCTTAGATGCAAGTGCTAAAACTGATACAGGTGTATCGTTAAATGATATTTTACATACTGGACCAAATTTACAAGCTAATTTATTTTCACTTCTAATAAATTTTAGACTTTTCCCAATTGCTATTACAGCAGATATAAAACAAATGTATTTAAGAATTTTAATGTCAGAAAAACATCGTAAATATCAAAAAATTTTGTTTAGGTTTAATGATTTAGAACCTATTCGATTATTTCAATTTAATTCTGTAGCCTTTGGTTTAAAATCAAGTCCTTATTTAGCAATGCGTACCATTAAACAACTAGCAGATGATGAGTACGATAAATTTCCTTTAGCGTCTGATGTAGCAAAAAGAGAACTTTATATGGATGATCTTATTACTTCAGTATCTTCAATTAAAACAGGAATAAGTCTTTCTAAGGAATTAATTGATCTTTTTAAATGTGGTGGATTAGATCTTGTAAAATGGGCTAGTAATTCAAAAGAGTTATTAAAGGAGGTTCCAGAATCTTATAGAGCTTCAAAGGAGTTTTTAGATGGAGATTCTTTAAAAATTTTAGGTTTAAAATGGTTGCCAGTGTCTGACATATTTACTTTTACTTCAAATTTGACAGAGTCTAATGATGTTTATACTAAACGCATAGTTCTTTCTACTATTGCTCGTTTATTTGATGTATTAGGATTGGTAGCACCAGTCATATTATATGTTAAGCTTTTGATTCAGGAATTATGGTTAATTAAAAGTGATTGGGATGATAAACTTCCTGAACATATATTACAACGTTTTATAAAATTTAAAAATGAGTTACCACGATTGACTGAGTTAAAGATTCCAAGACATTTAGGTATTGTTTATGGGTGTAATGTAAATATTTTAGCTTTTGGAGATGCTAGTATTAAAGCTTATGGCTGTTGTATTTACATGCATGTAACACATTCAAATTTGAATATTTCGGTAAATTTAATTTGTGCAAAATCTAAAATTGCACCTTTAAAAACTCTTTCTTTAGCTCGTTTAGAATTATGTGCAGCCTTGTTATTATCTAAATTGGTACGTCATATATTGGATACTTATAGTAATCGATATAAAATTAATAAAATTTTTGCCTTTTCTGACTCAACTATTGCATTATCATGGATACATTCCTCCCCTCATCGTTGGCAAACATTTGTAGCCAATCGTGTTGGAAAAATTCAGGAGAATTTAGCACCTGCAAATTTTTATCATATTAATGGAATTGAAAATCCAAGTGATTGTGTTTCACGAGGTCTATTACCTTCACAATTGATAAATCATTCATTATGGTGGAATGGCCCTTTATGGGCTAAATTTCCAATATCAGATTGGCCAATTAAGCCATTTGATATTAAAAAATATAAATTGGAGATTCCTGAAATAAAAAAGGAATTTATTACACTTATTAATACATCGTATGAAACTTCAATTATTTATAATCTTTCATTAAGAGTTTCATCATGGACTAAATTATTAAATATAGTTGTGTATATTTTGAGGTTTATGAAAATAATACAATCAACAAATTTAATTAAGGTGTCTGATTTGGAAATTGCTGAAATAATTATTTTAAAAGAATTACAAAAAATATATTTTAAAAATGAATTTAATAATATTAATAATAAAAATTCCCTTAGTCCCACGTTTAGAAAATTGGATATTTTTCTTGATGATAAAGGGTTAATAAGAGTTGGAGGTCGTTTATCAAATGCAAATATTCCTTTTGAAAATCGTCATCCCATTTTACTTTTAGGCAGAAATCATATTGTAAATTTGTTGATTGATCATTTTCATTGTTTAAACTGTCATGCTGGTCCATATTTGTTGATGTCACTATTAAGGCAAAGATATTGGATTATTTCGGCTAGGAATATAATACGCCAACGAGTACGTTTGTGTAATTTTTGTTTTAGAACATTACCAAAATGTTTAACTCCAAAAATGGCTAATTTACCCCCTGCTCGTGTTCAAGAAGCAAAAGCATTTACACATACTGGTGTAGATTATGCTGGTCCAATAAATATTACTATGACTAGAAGACGAGGTATTAAAAGTCAAAAGGCTTATATCTGTTTATTTATTTGTTTTTCAACTAAAGCAATACATATCGAATTAGCTTCAGATCTTAGTTCTAATATATTTTTAGAAGCTTTTAAACGATTTATTGCAAGAAGGGGTCCTGTTTCATGTTTATATTCAGATAATGCGACAAATTTTATAGGAGCTAAGAGACGTTTGAATGAAATTTATAATTTTTTATATGCAAATGAAACTAAACAATCCTTTCAAAAAGAATTTAATATTAGAAAAATAGAGTGGAAAATGATTCCTCCTTCGGCACCTCATTTTGGAGGTATTTGGGAGGCAAATTTAAAGAGTGTTAAAACGCATTTATATAGAGTTATTGGTAAACAGTTATTATCTTATGAAGAGTTAAATACAATATTAATTCAGATAGAATGTTTATTAAATTCTAGACCACTTTGTTTATTATCTGAGGAACCTCATCCAGAGATTCTTACACCTGCGCATTTTTTAATGTCAACGCCCCTTCAGTTTTTACCATTTTTGTCAAATTCTGATCAAACCTTAAAGGGGAGGAAAAAGTTATTAGATAATTTAATTAGATCTTATTGGAAAAAATGGCATTTGGAATATTTACATACGTTACAATTAAGACAAAAATGGAATACATCTAATAATCCCATAAATATAGGAACAATTGTTTTGATAAAACAGGATGATGTGCCTCCACTTTATTGGCCATTGGGAGTTATAGAACAAGTTTATCCTGGAAAAGATGGGGTTATTAGGGTAGCATTAGTACGTTCCCAAAATGGGATTTTTAAGCGACCGGTGGTGAAGCTTTGCCCTATTCCAACACAGTGATTCTTGCATATTTAATTTTAACATTAAATTTTATTATATTTATTTTATTCAAATATTAATTTAAAATATTTTGAAATTTACATTTCAAAGCCGGGGAGCATGTTTACGCCACAGGTTAGTTTGAGTATGTAGATTTTTTGATTTGTTTGCAAGTCTATTTGTTAATATAAATTTAGTCGGCTATGGTTGCTATATACATATATATAAAAAAATAATAATAAAAAAGTCATAAAAATATTTACATCAAAAATAATAACATAAAAAATATAATAAAATATACCTAATATTAATAATATATTAGATTTATAAAATTCATTATAATTTTAATAATAAATTATATATACATATTATATAAAATAAAACTAAACATAAATAATAAAGTTAAAGAAGCATAAGAAATAAAGAGATAAGGAATAGATAACAAGAAGACACGAAATAAAAGAAAATAAAGAAGTTAGAAAAGGAGCAAAATAAAGAAGTTAGAAAAGGAGCAAAATTAAGATGTTAGAAAAAGAAACAGAAGAAGGAAATTAGAAGCAAGAAATAATAAATTATAACTGATAATTATTATAATATATAAATATTGACAAATAAAACGATTTGTAAGTATAATCTTTTGAATCTATTTATTATAACTAACCTGTGGTGTAAATACACACCAGTGTGATTCTCACTTCTCCTACTTTAACCACACGAAAAGGAAACAGTCTCCAAAATAATTTATATATGTGTGGAAGTATGTGAACGAAAAATAATGAAAACGGCCGCTCTTAAGTACTAAAAATCCACTTTTTTTATAAGGTTGACTAAAGATAAATTTTATAATATTTATAACATAAATATTTATTATTTTAATTTTAAAAATTATTAGCACAAAACCAATTAAAATTATTACATTTTATTTTAGATTTATATTGGAAATACAAACCCTTGCATTAACCACTGTTCAAACGGCGGAATCTGCCAAATAATGTCCCTAGACAAAGACCCTACTTGCAAATGCACGGAAAAATGGTCCGGTCCTACTTGTAAAGACCCCGTGGTTTGCAAGACTTACTGTAAGAACGGCGGGACGTGCTCGATTAGCGACGGCATTCCTTACTGCCAGTGCCCACCGAACTTCTTCGGTAACAATTGCGAAAACATGAAGTTGGGCTTCGACGAAGCCATAACCACCAAGGAAGAAGGCAGAGGCGTTTTGGTTCCTATTCTTATCGCTGTAGCTGTAATTGTGATCGTTTTGTTGGTTGGCTTTGTTGTTGTTGAGTATTTTATTAAGAAACGTCAAACATTTTCCCATGAAAGATTAAACGAGAACGATTTCAATAATCCCATTTATCAAGATAGAGATGCTGAACCTTTCACGTTGGACGCAGATAAGGTACCAATTTTCAGTCTTGTTTAGCAAATAATGAAACGAATAATGATATAATCACTGGCAAAATTTTTTGCTATAATATTTTAATTTTTTTTAGTCTGGCAATTTTGCCAATCCAGTGTATGAGTCTGTGTACAACGGAACAAGCAGCGGAAAGGATGAAAAAGCGAATCTCTTAGAGTACAATGCTGATGAAACTCCACCTCCCAGTACAGAAGAACTTTAAATCCATATCAAAGATTTTTAATTTTATTTTTTATATTATTTGCTGTGAATTGTGCCATTTTAAATTAATTTAATTTTAATTTTAGCAGCTATTTATTATAGCTGAATTTTATTTCGAAACATTCATTGGTATCATTTAGTTAACAAAAAATTAACAAACAGACTAAGATCATGACGTCCTTGTATATAAATGTTAAATCTGTGACTGATATTATATAAATTATATTTTTATTCGATTTATATACAAATATATTTATAGCAGCTGTTGAGGTTGTGCAAAATTATAGCTCAAATTTTATGTGAAAAGCCTGCATGTGGTTATTTTCATTAAATGTGCTCAATAAAACTCGATTTTAAATACAGGTACTTGTGTATTATATTTATAACTTTCAACTAGTGTGTAGTTGTATTTTGTTTAAAATGTAAGTTTTTTATTGAATAAATGAAGAGATGTATAGGGTAAATGTTATACATGACTTTTATTTATGTCCATTTCACAATAGTCATATTTAGGAAATTACAAGGTAAGTAAAATAAACTAAATAGTTGGGGGACATTTACTTACAAGTACCTACACTATAACAAAATATAAAAAATCTAGACAGTTCAAAATTAATAATAAATTAATTGAAATTTAAGTATAAACTTGCATTCGCCAGAGTCCACCACACCTAAAAAAAATATTTATTTTGTAAAACTGCACACACAAATAAACTGGTATATACAATGAGGAGCAGACTTCCAAATGCGTTTTGTCCAAATTGCTTAATTTTCAGGAAACACGAAAGTCCGGTGTGAAGTAACTGATATATTAGGAGCAGAATTTAAGATGCCATTAAATTTGGAAAAAGAAGTCATCTGATAATAACTTAACTTCAAAAATATTTATATCTTAAGAATTTCAGAAATCTGAAAAAAGATGGAAGCTAAATGCACTTTGATTGTCTAAAGACGACAAACCTTAATTTGTTTGAAAATTATAGAGAATTCACGTAGTTCTCCAATTTCAGAATAAAGCTGGGATCACAGTACTTTTCCAGTAATTTTATTGTACTGTGTGATCTGGCACAACTGGCGTAGAAAAGGACAAAACGCGTTTTGATATATCAAGACACATAGACAAAATGTACTTTGATTGTCCAGGGCAACTTTCGCTGAATATTTACATAGGACTAGACGCGTTTAGAATGTACAGGGTAACATTAGAAGATGCGCATTAGTTTCAAGAGCAGAAAGCCATCTTTTTTTGTCAAATGTTGAATTTTTGGACAATACGCATTTTGAAAGTCTGATCCTCACTAAAAAGATCCACTTTGATATTTGAATGCCGGTCGCTAAAATTAAACCAAATTGACGTTAAACATCATTTGTCAAATGTCAAAGTGGGTCTGTTGGGAACGGTAAACGGAAAAAAAGAGGAACGCCTAAATGCAGGAATGGGCTCCATCTGAATATAAATTTTGCGTAAAATAAAACCAAATCAAACCAAACCCAACCAACCCAACCCCCCGTAACCGCCCTATTGAAGCCTAACCAGCCTATTGAAGACGATTATTCCATCGGTAACAAAGTTCGAGATAAAGGGCAATGCACGATGGAATAATCGTCTTCAATGGGGTGGTTAGGCTTCAATAGGGCGGTTACAGGGGGTTGGGTTGGTTGGGTTTGGTTTGATTTGGTTTGTTTTATTTTACGCAAAACTTATATTAAGATGGAGCCCATTCCTGCATTTAGGCGTTCCTAAAAAAAGCCCCTGGAAAAAAAACCATGGAAAAAAAAACCCCCGGAAAAAAAAACCCCGGAAAAAAAACCCCTAGGAAAATAAACCTACAGGAAAAAATACCCCCTTACAATTTTTTTCGGAATTTTTTAACAATTTTTTTATATTTTTTTTTAACTTTTTTAGAATTTTTTTTACAATTTTTAGCATTTTTGGGCATTGATTTTTGCAATTTTTTTTTATTTTTGCCAATTTCGGGGATTTTTACTCAATGGGGCGGGGGGGCCAATGGGGCGGGGTCGGTAGGGTTGTGTTGTTGAGTTTGGGTTGATTTGGATTGGTTTCGCTCATTTTTGCGGTATTTTTACAATTTTTGCATTTTTAATGTGACACTCGTCAAACCGGGATTTATTTTTTGGCTTTTTTTTCCTTGGGTTTTTTTTCCTAGGGGTTTTTTTTCCTAGGGGTTTTTTTTCCGGGGGTTTTTTTCCGGGGGTTTTTTTTCCGTGGTTTTTTTTCCAGGGGTATTATTTCCTAGATTCGTTGGGAACAGAACATAAGCTGTTGGGTATGGACAAGAAGACTAAATACAGGAGTAGTTACTTTCCAGAAGGGGGCAGGCCGAAAAACGTACGTTATTAGTAAACTACGGATGCACAAAATGCTCCTGAGCACACTCAGTGTATATATTGTAAATTATATATATACATATGTCTAGGTAAACGGAAAAAAAGCCCCTGAAAAAAAAACCATGGAAAAAAAACCCCCGGAAAAAAAACCCCCGAAAAAAAAAAACCCCTAGGAAAATAAACCTACAGGAAAAAATACCCCCTTACAATTTTTTAACAATTTTTTTTAACTTTTTTAGAATTTTTTTACAATTTTTTTTACAATTTTTAGCATTTTTGGGCATTGATTTTTGCAATTTTTTTTTATTTTTGCCAATTTCGGGGATTTTTACTCAATGGGGCGGGGGGGCCAATGGGGCGGGGTCGGTAGGGTTGTGTTGTTGAGTTTGGGTTGATTTGGGTACGTTTCGCTAATTTTTGCGGTATTTTTACAATTTTTGCGGTATTTTTACAATTTTTGCATTTTTTATGTGAAACTTGTCAAACCGGGATTTATTTTTTGGCTTTTTTTTCCTTGGGTTTTTTTTCCTAGGGGTTTTTTTCCTAGGGGTTTTTTTTCCGGGGGTTTTTTTTCCGGGGGTTTTTTTTCCGGGGTTTTTTTTTCCATGGTTTTTTTTCCAGGGGTATTATTTCCTAGATTCATATGTCTATTATGCCTTGTGATCAAGAGTTAGTCCTCCTTTATTTAGTCTTCTTGGGTATGGAGCATGCTGCATGGTACACTTTTTATAATAATACAAATTAGTTTTTGATTTTTCCTCTCAAACAATCCACTTCTAATAGAATGGATTTTAATAATAGGGTTGGGACCTAATGTCAAAAATCAATGTGAAACCACTTCTGTTATAGTATAATATATATTTTTGTTAAAAAAAAAGAATTTTTTGTCGTGAAGGTGTCCAACAATATTGGCAATAAATTGCGTAGTTTGCAATCAAAATCTAGAGCAATAAAAAAAAATACATGTGCGCTTTGACCACATAGCTTAACCCATAGAAATAATAATAATTATTATTTCTATGGCTGAACTAAAACTTGAACAATTTAATTATATTTTATTTAAACATGTTCAAGAAAGGAGGTCCGCGCACATTAATGCTCTAGTCGAGAGCAGTGTTGCCAACTTTTTTCCATACTTCTTGGGATTTTTTGCGACTGTCGGGAAAGAGGAATCTGACAGAATCTAGGGAATTTCGTACTTATAGATTAAACGAAAAATGCTTGTTTAATTACAAAATATGTAAATCCAAGTTTTGATGTATTAAGCTTTTTTAAGATTTTGAGCTCTTAAGCCTTTTTAAACATTTGAACTTTAAGGTATAAATAAAAATTTTGTTTAAAAATCTTTTTTCTATATTTTTATTTATATTTATTTGTACGGATTTGTTCTACAATTTTTTAATTTTGAACCAATGTGCGAATTTGTCCTATCATTTTTTAATTTTGAAGTACTGCGCGAATTTTGTTCAAATATTCTAAAACGACACATGTCAAGTTTTGGTTTAACCATGCCGCAAAGAAATTTCACTTTAAAAATTAATAAGTTTTCCCAAAAATGTTGGACATCTTGACGACAGTAGCGCCCTACGCGGCCGACAATATAATAATTTTTGTGCAAATTCCAAAACGAATTTTCATTTTGATTAAATTTTTCGATAACTCGTCGGGTTGCTTTATCACCTTCATCATTAAATAAATTCGTTGCTCTTTCGACAACATTGTCATTAATTTGACAAATTTTCGTTTTTGACTGTCAATGAAACGACTTGATTTTGATTGGATTGTTGCAATGAAAACTTAATAAACAAAAGTCGTGTTAAATGTTGCCATGAAAACGAAATGAAATTTTTAACAAATGTTAACTAAATTTTTTGTATCTATGAAAAAGTGACCAGATTCTGTCAAAAAATAGCGGGACATTTTGTGTAAATTAACCTTAATTATAAAAATGACAATTAACCATAATTAAGTAACGTCAAATTTACAATTTGCATTGTATCATTGTGTCAATTTTGTAATTAAGGTAAATTCATACAAAATGTCCCTCTATTTTTTGACAGAATCTGGTCACTTTAATCTATGAACAGAAAGGAAATCAGTGAGAACTGATTCAGCCGTTTTGGAACAAGCAAAAACGATTATGTAGAATACATTTTTCTCGTAAAATGAAAAATAAGAAAGTTTTTCCTCTTGGCAACCCCAAATGGGGACATACTGAATATAGGCTTTTATTATTAAATTTTATTGATTTTTAAAATATATTTTTGCTACTTACTGGCAAGACCTAAACCACCTTTGGTCCCATGCGCGTATGGCGGCGGTCCTCGTAACCGGTACTGTACCCGCCGCTCCCCCGCACCGTACGCACTGCTTAATGGTCCTGGGCGTACGACCCAAGTACAGATGCCTAATCGAGTCCACTGTTTGTCCGCTATTCACTTCGGTAGATGCCGCCAAACACTCGGGTTCGTTGTTAAATTCCAACTGCAAATGAAATATTGAATTAATTAATTAATTAAATATTTTATTTTATATAACATCCTGTATATTTTCTTGCAGCATTTATAATTATTTATTCGATACTTTTTCCGATTGTAAATGGGTATTAAATGGCTGAGAAAAAAAATAAACAATATTTCTTTTCATTAAGATTGCCATGAATAAGGATATCAAATGTTTGACAGATGTCAAATATGTTTTAATATTTGACATGTGATAAACTTAACTTAATAAGATTTTTTATTGTTCTTACTAGTTTTATGTTTTATTTTAAACAAACCAAAACTTTACTTATTTGTTAATAGTGCACTTGATTTATTTTTTATTTTTTAAGCTATAGCTTGTTTTAAAATTAGTAAAAACACGTAGGTATTCAAAATTGGCGCAAAATGTACAAGAAAAATTTGCTCAGCAGGTTATGCTTAAATTTCATTGGACGTTTCCATGACGACTCAACACTTGTTTAATTCGGTTATGTCCTGTGGCGTCAGGTAGCCATATTGTTTAAAAGTAAAAATAAATAAAGTTATCGAAAATGAACCCGGCATTTGAATGTTTAGAAAATATCCGATCGGATGTATTCAAGAAAACATTGTCAATTGTAGAAATAAAAGCATACATAAAATGTAAGTCTTTTATATTTTTAAAACAATACCTACCTCAGTATTGTTTAACATTTTAGGCTATGAGAAAGAAACGAAAAATTATCGTGAGAAAACTAAAGATTACAAAGAAAAAATTAGAAAAATCGACAGGGAAATTATGGTATATAAAGTTATGAATGAGAAACTTTCTAAAGTTTATGAAACGTAAGTATATTTATGTATTAATGCTGGCCAACGAAATTAAATTTGTGTAATTACAAAGTAAATTAAAAAATAGTATTCACCCACTTTACGGACAATATTCATTTGTACAGAGTGTTTCAAAAACATATATCTGACAAATCAAAAAATTACTAATACAAAACTTTATATTGAAATACAAAGTGTAGCGGCTAAATTTTACAACTTCTATTTAATACTGTTTTTATAACCATTTCCAGTTCCAAAGAAACGTTCAATCTTTCTCTACAGTCATCAACGTATCTTCAACAGCATATAAAAACTGCAGAAACCGAGCTAAAGGACGTTTTATCAAAACAACACGAAATTCTTAATAAGTTTTCGAAAATTTACGACGACACCAAAGAAAGGTTACAAAAAAGTTCTCCTCTCTATAGAGAAATGCAAGAACTGTCCATTGAGGTCAAGTTAACCAAATTTAATTGCTTAGACTTGCAAGCAAAAATAAATATTAATCAAAAAATTAATAAGCAACGCCAAGAAATTGGGCAAAAATTATTTTATAATGACATAATAAAGTTGGCTAATGCATGGGTAAATCACCAAAAGTACCTTAAAGCTGTTAAAGATTTAGAAAAAGCTCAACAGTTAGAAAGGGAGAACCTAAGAGAACTACTTGAAGTCCAAGAAGAAGGTATCCATTTTAATAGTAATATTATTTAAAAGAGAAGTATATTAACTTTTGATTCTAGTAAAACGGGTTGGGTATAATAGATCTAAAAATCATATGGCGAAAATAAATGAAAAGTTGGCGATTCAAAATAATTCTTCTGCTGAAGATGGTATAGCTTAATATGCTTGTTACCAAAGAGTTCTAATTTTTAATATTTTAGAAAAGAAAATCGACTTTTGGACTAAAGAACTTGAATATAACAAATTATTTAAGCAACCATCAATGAGAGTGGAACCACAAAATAACAATAAAGTCAGGATTATTGAAGACGTTGTTATAAATATGGGCATTGAAAATAATCTGAATACTAGTAAAAGTGCTTTGAGTTTTAAAAGGGAGGAAAAAAGAAAAAATCTTCAAAAATTGTTTAAAAAATATGCCAAAAGATCATCTAGGCAAAATTCTTTTACAAGTGATATGAATGCATCTGTTCAAAATTTGGATATAAGTCAAGAATTAGTTTCATCTCAAAAGTCAGTTAATGAGTGCAAAGTCAAAAAATCAATCTTAAACACTTCTAACCATAATTCTCAAAATAATACACAAAACTTCACACCTGTTCCCACTCCTGTAAACTCTCAAAAATCTCAAGAGGCACCACAAACAAATAAATACGAGAACAATCCAATTGTTAATTTAGAAAAAAAAGTTGAGGAAAAAACTAATAACAAAATGGAACCAAACAAAATAAAGAAATCGGTGAAGTTTGAATTAATACCTGAAAAAAATAAACAATTTCCTCAACCCAGTTCAAGTGTCGAATTTGGTAAGAATAGAAATGAACAAAACTCAAGCATATTTTTTTCGAAGAAGCCTTTTGGTAACAGGAATGAGAATACAAATACAATTATTATGGATGAAAATGTTTTTAAAAATCCGATCCCTTCAGAGAAGTTTGACCAATTTTTCCAAACCGATAATAATAATTTTAGTAAGTATGATTTTATTCAACCTTTATAAGTAAGAAACACCTATTTATGTTTGGTTGAGAACATATCAATTATATAATATTAATTGTTCTTAAACTACATTTTTTAGCTTTTACTATCGATAGTAAAGAACAATCATTTGGTAAGTTTAATGTAATTTTAATAATATGTTTAATATTAAAATAAAAATATTTTAGATCAAAGTTTTGCAATGGAAAACATGAGTTTTAATATGAATTTTGGTGATTCTGGAACAATGCCATTTTCATTTGAAAACGATAAGAAATTTGGAGTATTTCAATAATATGGTTTCAATTATTATTTCGTTGTTTATTGATTAAATTTGTTAAATTTGTCTTCTAATAAAAGATTATTACGTTTTCTAAAAGAAATTATTACTTACATGCAATGGCAAAATTTGTTGGCTAAACTGAGAACAAGCCAAAGCGATTTTGTTGTTGGTCTGTTGCAGTGGTTGAATTTGGACTTGACTTGGAAGCAGACAACATTCATCTAAAAATTAAACAAATTTATGTTACATTAACACAATTTTTAACACAAAAATACCTTTATAATGTTCTGTATAAAATTTGTTAGCGAAACAAAAAACTTAATTCTACACTACCTATAACTAAACTAAAATTCTTATGGAGAAACTAAAGTTCAAAGTCCTTAACATCCATTAAGACACTAAAAGGCCTTATGTTGCTCTTTGGGACGTCATCCACAAAAATAAAAGCTTCAGAAACATTAACTTTACACTTTTGAACATCAGCAATAAAAAATTCGCGGGGAGTTAAACATTCTTCCTTGGGTTGACAAATTTTACGTTCTTCGTCGATGAATTTTTGCACCGAATTATTAAGATTGCTATTTGCTAGATCAAGTAAACTTTTAAAAAATTCCTCTCGAGTGCTCACACATGAAATGGGACGCTGTTTAAAATGTAATCCATCACCACTGTCAAGAAATGTTTTAGGTCGGGGTTTTTGTTTTCTAACGATTACATCGTGGTCCGATTCGGTTTTCAATTTTTCGTGTTCAATAATTACACGAGGTTTAGTGTTTTTGGTTTCGGTTTTTAATTTTTCGTCCTCAAATGTTATATGAGGTTTAGTGTGTTCATTTATATCATTTTCCTTTGATTCCACAATTGTATCATATTCATGAAGGTAATTGAGTTCTATGTCTTCTTTACTACAACCTACTGTTTTTACAATACAGTAATCTTCTGGAAGGGGTGTTGTTTCCTTGCAGCGCCAAAAGCAGACCATAATACTTAAAAACACACAAAAGAAGAGCAAAGCAAATGCAAATAAAACTGAATGTGGTATATCCAACTTTTCCAATAACTCAATAGAAACCAGAGGCCAGAATACAAACCAATAAAAAATAAATGTAAGCACTATATAAAACGGCATCCAAATAAATCTCAAGGGGTGAGACCTATCTATGTTAGGCACGTAAACTTTTTCGTTCTTTTTGCCCATGGTTTCACTGAATTTATTAAATAACATACATTTTTCGACATAGGAAAGCTAAGATAAGGGTTTCCTGTCAGATAAAGTCACCGCAACTGGCAAATCTTGATATAATTTAAAAATAAACATTTTGTTTGTGTGTATTCGTTAATTTATCTTTAATTAGGAGCACGGCCTATCGCACTATATTTACGATGATTCATTTTTATTAAGGCCTCGCACAATTAAGTCACATAAATTACTTAAGTCGTTTAACTGCAAGTTGGTTTCTTGCAGCTCGAATGGACAACAAATTAGCTTTCTTTATTGAATGTTCTCAAAATAAAAAAGTGTGACAAATGTCGGACAACTTTTTTAATTATTAAAATAATTAATTTCATTTAATATGCAGATGAAAAAATTAACAACAGTTTTTATTTCTATAATTTAGGAAAACACGTTTTTTTAATACTATTAAATTAAAAACAAACTTAAATTAACAGAATAATAAACAATACCGCTATATGCAGATAGGATACTAGAAGTGTCCAAGAGGAGGGTCAAAAATTGTGAAAGATGGCTTTAAACTAAATAGTTTAACCGTTGAGTGAAGAAGTCAATGGTTTAACACTAATAAAAATAATAGAGTCAATCCAAATGAAAACACCAAAAATGAATTTAAAACAGCGCTGCATGATTTTTTATTTTAATGAAAAAATTTGAGGATGATCTTTTAGGTATCGTATATGAAAAACCGTTGCCGTTTTAATTTTTAGTTGATTTATTTTTAATCGGCTCCCTTTAGAAACCTGAAATCGTATCATTTTCTTACTCTTATAAGAGGCTGAAACTTTTTCTGTGGAAATTATTGAAATGATAGTAATTTTATTTTACTGCCTAGTAAGTATGTTTTCAATATTAATTATTATTATCTAATTAGGTTCATCTCATGTGATTTTTGTCTGGCTCCTGTGCCTATTCTGCTAAATCTAGAAAGTTGCTTTTTTTTCAGGTATCAAGTACTTATACAATAGAAAACGTAACTATTATTTTAAGTTTCTAGACTATCATTTTCTTTATTAAAAAAATTATTGAAACTTGATAATTTTTAAAATTAACCAATTTTGCCCTCAGAAATCATTATGTTGAGGAAAAAAAATTGAAACTTTCAGGAAATGTAGTCCCCACCTTCATCTAGTTAGTCTTGTTTTGTTATTTTTATCCATGTAAAAGATATAATATTTTTTTTAATGCAGTTAAAAAGCAATATTATTAGTTTTATTTATAATTTAAAATTTAGATGGCTTTCATGTTTGGTGGAGAAGTGTCAGAACTGTCAAAAATATTTAATAAATATTATTTGTTATTTATTATTAATGTTATTTGTTATTTATTCATATATTATATCACGAGAACTATGAATTTAATCGGTAAAACTAGGCTTAGTAGTTTTTTGTTTGGTTTTTGTTGGAAAATGTTGAATTCAAAATAATTTAATAAAATCACGAGACCGCGTAGCGGTCGAGGGGTTTTATTTTTAATTATTTTGCATGAAACTATTTTCCAAAAAGAAAAATCAAATAAAAAACTTACTGAGTATAGTTTGACAGATTAAATTTATAGGTTGAGTGATATACATCTAGATTATTTCTCGAATTAAAAGAAACTATTTGACAATTCATAAAATCTGACGTATGTGTCAAAATTTATAAATATTTTTTTAAAGAAAATTCCAATAATTTAAGGTATGTAATAAGTAATAATTGATATTTCGTAAACTAGATAACTTATTTTTTATTGTTTTTAAAAAAATGTTTGTTAAAACTTGTAAATAACACCATAAAATCGTAAACAAAAATCCAATATGGAGGCTAAAATTTAATCGCTGTTAAATAGTTATAGTGATTTAATTGCTTATTTAAACGAAATTTATTCGAAAATTCAAGGCTTTTGATTGGTTCATATTATAATGAGGGAAATAATCTTTGATAAATTTTGTGTCGCTAACAAACTTGTTATACTGTTCTAATATTTAAAAAAACATTACCTGCAATAAATGTGTTATCTTAGTTTGATATTAGATAAAGTTTAAAATAATTTCAGAAGAACTGTGTTAGCGAAACAATTATCAAAATAAAATTAAAAGAAATTCGTGACAGTGTTTGTTTTTATCTAGTTATACATTAGTAACTAGTAAAAGAGACATATGCTTTTAACTATTTCTTGCCTTTTTAAACACATGCAAAAATTAATTAATTTACGAATGTAGAACCAACTCGGTAAATTCTAACAGAAACGTAATAAAACATGTACTTACCAATCAAACTTTCATCCGGCTCATTAACATTTTGCACCAATCTGCTCAAAAGCCTAAACACCAACGCCAAAACGTCCAAAGAACCATCGGACTTGATAAAAACAGGCAGACAAGCAGGTCTCAGTAGGCCCCAAATCCTGATTAGCACCAACATTTCCCTGAGCATGTTCAGGGCGCTCACGTCCCTCAGCAGTTCGTAAAGTTTGCCGGAAGAGGGCCTGCTATCGGGAAGCTTGATCAACAGGTTGAGAGCCAAATCGGCCACCCATTGGATGAGCTGCTGGAGACTTTGTAACGTGGACGGTTCGACTGTGAATTCTTTTGCTTCCAGATGCATGAGGACTTTGTCCACGTCGCTTTGGCCTTCGCTAATAACAGCTGCAAAAAAGATAATTTTGATTTCTGTACTAGATATGTAAAAAACGGTTTTTTCAGATGTGAAAAAAAAAACATAAAAAAACGGTTTTTTTGTTTTTTTTCAAATCCGCTGCAATAAAGCATATTCTGTCAATAAATAACATCAATCTTAAAAAAATGGGGTAATTTTTCAAAATGAAATTTTGAGAAAAATGTATATTAATAATAAAGTGAAATGTAGAATATACATATTACACTTTTCATTATTGAAAATTTTGACCAAGAGTAAACAATCTGATTTCTAATTATTTGGTAGTTTCCACATAGGAAACCAATAGCAATGTAAAACTTCTACACTAAGTAATAGAAAAAATTAAAGGATAAAAAAATTTCAAATTTTTTGCGATTTTTCGGATAGCTGTATCTTGCTAAACATGGTCGTATTGGAGCAGTAAAAAAAGCAATTTGAAGCTTGAAGTTTCTAGTTTTGAGATTTTTAGATGAAAAACGCTTAATTCTAACGAATACCGTAATAAAAAAATCGGCTTTCTTTTTTGGTCCACGGAATGTTCTGACTTAACCACCAATGAATAAATGTTCTACAAGAATTTGTTATTGTTTTTTTCATACTCTACATGAATTTGAAAAATCATAAAAAAGTGCTTTTGGTAGCTTTTTAAAAAATCAAGCGCTGAATCAAAAATATTATAGGTAGTTACTTTTTTTAGGACCAAATCATAACAAGCAAAAATAGGCAAATGAGACTAATCTTGTAAAAAAACTTAAATATGAAAAAAACCATTTGAAAAAAAAACAAAAAAACGGACCTTCTTTATTTCAAGTCGCACCTCTATTCTGTACATTTAAAATGGCGCTAGTATAGTTTTGGTTTTAAATTTAAGTTTAAACAATTGAAGATCTCTCAAAAACCGCACAGATCCAATTATCCAATTATGTTATAATATTCGTACCAAATTTCTAGGTTTCCATTTACATTTCACTGGTTTAATTGTTTTAAATTTTATATGGATTGGGTATGCTACACAAATTTTGTCTTTCTGGGATATATTATCATAGAAAGCCAAAATTCAAGATATTCTTTATGTGCCTACTTGAGGTGAACATTGTAAAAAGTATATTATAAATTAATAAAGTGAGCGATTTTGTTAACCTGCAAGTAATATGTGTAAGCAGTTTGGACCATTTGAGTACATTTGATGCACAACTCTGTATTTGCAGGATAAGTGATTTTAAGAAAAACACGAAAAACCATTCATAAGGTCATTTAAAAAAAAAAATGCAAAAATTGTATAGACGTGCTTTTGCATCATTTCTTACAAAAGTAAAAAAAAATCTTTTAAAATTAAGTAGTTTAGTAAATAATTGCAATCAAAAGATTTAAATGACCCCTTTTCCATGTTTACCGACTAAAAATTTCCATACCCATTTAAAATGATAAAGCTCTTTAAATCATACATATATTATACTGTTTTGATTCGTGCGTTTCGCGCGCTTGAAATGGCCCAAAAGTTGCTAGCAATTAAGGAAACTTAAATTTAAGATGACACATGTTTGGAATATTCCCTGTTGAAGAGTTAAACAGTTAAAAATATTGATTTTTTATTTTATCTTATATGTGAGTTTTAATTCAATTACATATGGATTAATTTAACATTGTTGTAAAGATTTTTAAAACGCCCCAAATTTTTTTTAATTCTTTAATAGATTTCGGGAAATTAAAATTTACACATTTGTGTACTTACATGCTAAAGAGTCAGCAGGACTTTTCTCATGACTATTCATTTCACTCGGCCTCAACAAACTCTTAAAAGCCGTTGAAATACTGTGCAACATGAGAAAACTACTCAAGTCATTTGCCTTACTCACACCTTGTGGAGTTAATCTGCAATAAAATAAACGAAACATATTAAAACCTATATCATTACCAAAACACTGTACTCCAAACCTACCTCAAAAGCGATATTTTAACACACAAATACTGCACATAAAAAAACTGCTGCACCGCAGCCGGCTGCCTATTGAAGCTCTCAGTCAGTCTATCGCACAGAGCATCTAGAGACCCTGGTCTCAGCACCAACAGCAAATCCAACCAATCCAAACCGCTGACCAGGCAGTACTCCAGAATCGTGGTGCAGTAGGGCACCGTTAGAGGGCCGGAGCTGTCGATTTGCGGCGGTAATTTGAACAAGTGCAAACTGTCGTCGGAGTCGACGATAAGCAGCACGTTTCCCAACCAAGACATGTCTATGTTTGTGATTTTCGTGTCGATTTTTTGGTATTTGGCGTTCGGTTCTTCAAGGTATCTCGGCGTCATCGATAGTTTTGTGTTTACGATCGGTTTTAAGGAGTCCTTGTACAGACAGTGGATGGTGTTGTCGGCAAATGTTACTACAATGTAACCGCTGGATGGGCTGTTTATTAAGCTTAGTTTGCTGGTGGAGAGTGATGTTACCTTGCTGTTGTACTGGAAGTGGCACTGGTATTGCCATAACTAAAATTAAACCTTATTGAACATTCGGATTTTGTGGTTCAAGCTGGTCACTTGCTATATGCAAAAGTTTGAAATATAAGTGACCCTGGAGAAACAAAATTGGAATCTCAGCTGGTAAGTGTCAAAAATACAAAATCTACAATAGATTGATTGACTTCTATGATGGATAGTTGAAATATTTAAAGAAATATCTGTGCACTTGCCATATTGTGCATGGTTGGAAGTATAAAATGGAGTTTAAACAATGAAAAGTGTATTATATTATGATTTATATGTGATTAAATACAGGGTGTTTCACATTCGTGGTGCATTAGAGGTTTCTGAGGAACGGAAAAAGATATTGATTTGAAATTTTAAAATCCATTTAAGTCTATTTTTCTAAAATATTTTGAACAAAATGCCACTTCCAGTTTAACCGAAAGTGACATCAACTTTGTTATTTCAAATGAAACACCAAATATATTTTTACAATTTTAAATTCTAAATGTGAATAGTTTTCGAGTTGAGAAATGCGCGTCAATTCAAAATAGCCTTTAACTTTTTTGTTATTAGGTTTGCGATAATAGGGGTGTAATTTTTGGAGTCTTAAACATTGTTTAAAATATTCTATATCAATTCCTTAACATTTTTCAACAAATTACCTGAAAAACCCAGGGCAAGTTAGTAAAAAGTTAACTTTTTTATTTTAATACCTGTTATGTTTTTACATAATCAAATAGTAAATTAAAAAACCTTTCCACTGATGTTAGTAAAAAGTTAACTTTTTTATTTTAATACCTATTATGTTTTTACATAATCAAATAGTAAATTAAAAAACCTTTCCACTGATGTCACTATTTCCTATACCTAAAGTTAATAATTTAAGAGATATTTAACAATTTCTAAAATTTTAAATATTATTTTGTATCAAGAAACCTGTGATGGTACATATCTATGGTTACTATGTAATCTGTTCTTTTTCAAAATTTAATGTCGTGAATTTTTCAGGTTGTTATAAAAAATTTGTTGACAACGTTTTTTGTAAACAAAATTACTATTAGTCAAGAAGAGCAACGTCTAAAAGAAGAATTAAGAAATGCTTAAATGTAAATGGAGGACACTTTAAACTTTTAGTAATAAATTAGTAACTAAAATTGTTAATTAAAATATTAATGGTTTATTAAATTGTTAGAATTACACATTCTTTTATTATTAAAATATTTATTATTGTCTCCAATAAGCTAATGCTTTACCTAGTTGATATCCTACAGCATTGTTGAGTTTTTTCAAAATTAGCAAATACTGTTTGAATAACTTTTAAATTTTTTAATGTTTTAAATAAGTCACTGACTGCTATTTTTTATCGGTAATATTGTTAACAAAACACTTAATTAGTTAACAAATTGTTTATAACAACCTAAAAAATTGACGCCATTAAATTTTTAACAATGAAGATTATGTGGTGACAATAGATGCCGTCAACTCAGGTTTCTTGATACAAAATATTATTTAAAATTTTAGAAATTGTTAAATATTTCTGAAATTATTAACTTTAGGTATAGAGAATGGTAACACCAATTGAAAGGTTTTTTAATTTACCATTTGATTATGTAAAAACATAGGTAGGTACTGGGAATACATTTAAAATAAAAAAGTTATTAACCTTTCAAGTTAGCCTAATTTGCCCTGGTTTTTCTCAGGTAATTTGTTGAAAAATGTAAAAGAATTAACATAGAATATTTTAAACAATGTTTTAAGATTCCAAAAACTCCTCCTAATACCGAGCCTAATACATATTTATGTCTTTATAACTGCTTATTACTATTTATTTACATTAATTTTATACCTTTCTTGACTTGTCCTATACAATTTTGTAATTTGTCCAAATGATTAATAAAGGAATTTCAATTTAAATATCTAAAAACCTAATATCAAAAAAGTTATATGCTATTTATGATTGACTTAAAAACTATTCACTTTAGGTAAAGCACATGGTATAGTAATTTTACTCATAGTTTTATACATACTTAGGTAATTCAAAAATGCAAAAATATATGGGGTGTTACATTTGAAATAACAAAGTTTAAACCAGGCATTGTGTAATTGTTATTTGAAAAATAGACTTAAATGGATGATAAATGCTTTTAAAATTTCAAACCAATATCTCTTTACGTTCCCTAGAAACTTCTAATGGACAAATGTAAAACAAATGGTTGAAAAATTAATTGATTTTTAATAAGAATTATATGGATAATTTAGAGTAAATTGTAACAGAATGTGTGTGGAAAGATGGGGAATTAAGAAAAAAAAACGAATTAAAAAGAAAATAATTAACTATAAAAAAGTGGCAAAATATTATAAAAATGATGATGAGACCCTTAATCATATCGAATTTTTTTAGACAGAATGAGCTAGAAGTAGTTTTTAAGTAATGAAGTTATGAAGAACCTTTTTTAAAAAAATCTTAGTAAAATGAGTGATACACAAATGGGCAAAATTAATGCATATAAAATCACGGCATGTGGTAAACTGAGAAAAATCTTAACTCAGGGTTGCAATTGAGAGAAAAACTGGAATTTTTAATGCGTTAGTAAAAAATAAACTCAAAATATACAGGGTTTCTTGTTTTTTGGAAACAACTTTTTAGAGAGGCATAATAAAAAATATTTTTTTGTAATCTTAAAAAAAACTCACCACTGTATTATAAAACTGTGGTGTTTCAGGTTTTCCCAAAGACTTATGAACTGGCACAGCCTTTTCCCGCAACTCCCAAACTTGCAGACAACTCATTTTATCACTACTTGCAGAAACCACCAAGGAATCTGCATCCTCCCTCATAATCCATTTAATTTGATTTACTGAGCAACGCTTGTCTTTTGTTAATTGATCCACTAAAATTAATATTTGAAAAGTAAAAATAAAATAAATTTAATTGATACATACTCATAGCTTCTTTTGGTGCTTCAAACAAGTAAAAGCTAAGAAGACATTGGCTTTGAATCTCACATTTTTCCTCCATTTTCTTTACAGATACTTTGTAACACTGTATTGGCATTATTGGATTGCCACTGCTTACAGCCAACAAAAAATGTCCATCTACAATTTTTTTCAATATAAAAATAAACAATAAAATCTAAAAGGAGAACTCACTTTTTCCATAGCATATGTCTGCAGTTTTCACAAATATCCTCGTAGGGCCTAGACTTTCAGTTGCCATAATCATAGGAGACTGACTTGTTGGTTGTGGTAGCATAACAGCAGCCAACATACCAGTGGTAGTTAACAATAAAGCCCCTGTGGCCGGCCGACCCCCAAACTGCTTAACCGAACATGCAAATTTGAGATGTTGAAACTTATCATTGTAAGATGAACTGTCTTTTTTCTCTGAGTTAAGACAAATCTAAAATTATGAAGTTTAAGAAAAAACATGTTTCTTGTTTTATATTGTTTTTAACTGTTTAAAATAGTAGTTTATGATGCTTATACATTTATTCATAAAAACTTTTTTATATGAAATTGTTTTCTTCATACCCTTTTTCCTGAATGAAAGAAAGCTGCTGATAAGATATGTTCTCCCTGCAATGTAGTATGCAACACTAAAGTCCACTCATTCAAAATGTGATCTTTAGTCTTATAAATCCTAACATTCCCTGCTTCATCTCCAATTAATAGCAATTCCCCTGTGAAATCCCACTGTAATACTGTTACTGGGGATGAATTTGACAATATTCTAAAATAAATAAAATCTTTCTCATGAGTTAATTTTACGTGGCACAATTACTTACTTGTGCACCTGCCAGGGGCTATTTAAATCGGCCACATAAACATTTGAGCTCCAAAATAATGAGCCACTTTCTTCCAAGTTACTTTCAGTACTAAAAGCTACCACATTAGTACTTGATATGGAACACACAATAGACTTCTCTAATCTGCAAAAACATAAACAATTTGGATCAAAATTATAAAGAAATTAACATATTTACTTACTTGTTGAATATGTTCTGTTTGTATGAATTTAGAGATTTGGTAGGTTTTTTACTTATAGTAAAAATGTGATCCATTTTATTGATTATTTATGAACTGAATAATGAATTACTTATTTTAAAATCAATACCATTTCTAAAAAAAGGTATTTTTACAATAATCTGTCAAGCTTGTTTGGGCAGGCAGAAGGCAACCAGCCCAATTTAACAAATCTGTTTTAAAGTAATATGGGTTGCCTATCTAAAAACATTTTAAAATTTAAGTAAACACCATCTAGTAGTAAAAAGCTAGACTAATTATAACGCTCTCAAAAAATTTTACAATTTTAGTTCAGCTATACTTGGATAGATATTTTGAAGATAGGCAATCAATTTACAAACATGTTTTATTGGTTGGCTAAACTAAAGTGGTAAAAATTTTGCTAGCGAAATATATAGTATAGACATTTGTGTATAGATGGGACTGCCATTAAATTTGTATTAATTTTTGTAGGCAACCCAGATTATATTTTTATGATAATAATTGAACGGTTGGCCACACTGATTTTGTGTCTCAAGTTACGACTCTAGTTTAACCAAACAAATTATTTTTGTTTACATGTGGTTTAAATTATATTTAAAATAGAATTACAATAAAAATTAACTAAAACATATTATTTATGCAATTAACATTGCCTATTTTATTGTATAGGTAATATTTGCTTCAATACAAACAAATCGTAATGTTAGCCACAATCAGTTTTCAACTAAAATATCCCTAAATTTTAAAAAAACTTGTCGTTAAAGAAAATACGAATCTGGATTGTTTTAAAAGTAAGTAAATCCATTTTTCTGAAAGAAAATAAATTTTTAATTATTGTTTAATTGTAGAATGGGGGACAACAAGGAAAATTATATTGACAGTGTTATAATAAGCTCCCCAAAACCCAGTGCAACATCAACTGTAATGAAAAAAGGAAAGAAAAAAATAGGAGAAATGGACAATTCTTTAGGGATATTATCAATAAGCAATGCATCTTCTGTGTCTGGGTTTAATTTATTGAATGATGAAAGTATAAGTAAAGATTTGGAAGAACAAAGAAATCTTGCCTTGAAATCATTAAAACTTGCTGCTATTCCATCTAAATATATTCGTCCTAGCTCTAAAAACGAGTCTAGTTATAGTTGTGCTGATGCAAGTAGTACTATAAATGAAAGTGATTTCTTAGGTACTTCTAATGGCCGTTCTTCTTCTTCTGGTTTTAAAGATTCAAGACAAAGTATGGGTCAGGCCGTTTCCAATTTATCAATGAAGTTAACCAACCCTGAATTTACCTTGGAAAATTTTATTAAGGAATTTCATCAGTCATTAAATTTGTCAGGAGGAATTGAGGGGGATAGTGCGATGTTTTCCAATTCTGATGTTAAAGATCGGATGATGACAGATGAGATTTCTTGGAGGCAAAAACATGAATTGCCTGTGAAGAACGAGAGTTTTTCCATGATTGCTGATGAGAAAATGTCGATGACTGATTTTTTTAAGCAACGCTCAAATGCTATTTCTGAATTAAAAGTATGTGTGAGTCCCAAACGAAGTAAACCTATCTGTTTATTGGAAGAAAAAGAATCAATATCAAGTAAATATAATACGGAAGAAGTATGTAGAGATTTTGTAGGAAAACAACCAAAAAATACCACATACACCACACCAAATTACACTACACCAACTAACATTAGATCCATTAGGCATGAATCTAATTCAATTAAAGATGAACAAATCCCTTCCATAAGTCAAATTGGCAACTTATTAGCACAAACATACACACCCAATAGAATAATGAATATGCTTTTGGCTGAGCCAAAAGATGCTCCTAGAGATAGCATAAGTGAAGAATGTGATTTGCCAGTTAGTAAAAACTCATCTTACACCAGCAATTATTCTGATAATGAAGTGATGAGGCAAATAATGAAGCAAGAAGTTCCATCTGCATCTGAGTTCACCAATGAACTATCCAGTATCAAGACATCCTCAGTTGGTTGTCCAACAATGAGCAAAGTTTATTCTTCTTATAATTCCGAAGAATCCAATGAAGCAGAGGAGAATCCCAAAGTTGAACCACATACATTGGAAAACCAAAATTTGGATTCAAATTCCAGCAGAACTTCCAGTAGTCTCTCCAACCTGGTTAGTGGCAAACTACCCCTGGAGTCCACTAAGTTTGAGCTCACATTTGATTGTGTGAAAGTTGGCAAAAGTGAGACCCTAGACTTTTTATTAAGAAACAAATCACCTAAATCCATTAGAATCCTAGCAAAAATAAGCGGAAATAATTTTAAGATTCGGAAAGATGGGTTTAGCGAGTCTGAATATTTACCTGCCGCCAAAATATATTTACGCGGAAACGAGTCGAGGCAAATTAATATTACTTTTATGCCAACTCAATTTGGGGCTGCCCATGAAAAATTGCTCTTTACCTCGTTGGATTTTCCTGAACAACAATCGAAAAAGGAATGCATTAGGCTTTTTGGGTATGGTGGTACTGCTCATGTGGATATGTATGCTGTACCAAAGGATTTGTCAGGGAAATTTTTTATCAATCTTGGAACAATTGATTCTAATATAATCTTAAAGAAGTTTACTGTTAAAAACAATGGCAATCTAGGGGCTTTTTGCTTTTTTGATTTTTCAAAAAAACACTTGACTACTTTCACAAATGTCGTCATAAAGCCCACGTTCTTTTGCCTCAATGCGGGGGAAGAGAAAAAGGTCATCCTTACTTATGAATCTTCAACTCAAGACCAAAAGTTTCTTCAATCCTGCAAAAGCCTTGTCCTGGAAATAGGCACAATAAAAATGATTTCAGGATCTGAAGTTAACAGGGGGAGGCTTAGAAATCTGTACAAAAAAGCATTGGAAAAATCAAAAGAAATAAAAGCTGATCCATTTTGTAAAGTTCTTGTGGAAAAACTTGAAGGGGAAATAATTCCTCATGACTTGAACAAAATTAAAGATTCCCCTCATACCTTAGATGATATAATGCTGATGTTTAAATACAATGAGATTGTTGTTACCATTGAGCAGGATCCTGAACAAACCCTTATGCCTCAATTACACGACGAATCCGATTTATATGGCTCGTTATGTCACGAAAATACAGTAGTGGACAACTCTATGTATCAGAAAAATATGTGTAAATTAGAACCGGAGTTGATAATATTATCTCCGCCTATAAAGACCGAGGACTCCATCTTTTTAATTTCCGAATATGCTAAGATTGTGCACTTTGAAGCCCAATCCAACCCTCCTGGATTGGAAATTATTCCAAAAGAAGGTGCCCTTTCTCCAGGCCAGACTGTGATTTTAAAGGTTAAATATTCCAAGTGCTTGTCACAAAAACAAGCCTATAAAGTTCTTGTTTATGTAGATAATGCGGTACTGGAAGTTGGTGTAAAAGTATTTTTTATTGGAAAGACAAATTTATCCAGTACTTAATTTTAATTTATTTGTTGTTTTGAGGTTTTAAGTACTTACGTTTTTAATTTTATGGTTTTAATTGTTTTATACATGTATACTTATTTTTTTGTATTTTTATTCTAATTAAATTAGTTATTCTTTTATTTACTTTCGTTTTATTATTAAATTTAAACTTGATCTATTCAGGGCTCCCACATCTAAAACTCATTAAATTCCCAAAATTTGGCTTATATCTTAAAATTCTCTTAAAATTGCCATCAATCAAATAGGCCAACCTGATTGAGTTTAATTAAAGTAGGTAGTTGTGCTAAAAAATTTCTTTTTTAAAAATTAACAAAATATATATTTTTATGTTCTAGTTTATTAAAATATTTTTAAAATGATATATTACAACCTACATTTTTCTCAAAAAAAAAAAACAACAAAATATACCTATTACGAAGGCGTAGAAGGGCCATCCAAAATTTAAATCTTGTTTTTTACAAATTTCTGAGTTATAACTCGGAATTTTAAAATTTCGAGTTATAAGTCGAAATTTTACAGCAAAATTTCGTGTTATATGTCGGAATTTTAAAATTCCGTGTTATATCTCGGAATTTTAAAATTCCGTGTTATATCTCGGAATTTTAAAATTCCGTGTTATATCTCGGAATTTTAAAATTCCGTGTTATATCTCGGAATTTTAAAATTCCGTGTTATATCTCGGAATTTTAAAATTCCGTTTTATATCTCGGAATTTTAAAATTCTTTGTTATATCTCGGAATTTTAAAATTTCGTGTTATATCTCGGATTTTTAAAATTTCGTGTTATATCTCGGAATTTTAAAATTCCGTGTTATATCTCAGAATTTTAAAATTCCGTGTTATATCTCGGAATTTTAAAATTCTCGAATTGTCGCTTAATAGACGACTTCACCCGAAGCAGCTTCGTTTAATCAGCTGTTTTCTTTGTGGTTTCAATTAACGACACGTGGCGCGTAAGTGAAGTACCTACATACCAGATCAAAGATTAGGTAAGTTAAACTTTATAATTAATTAGGTAATTGTAATATTTATTAATGGATTGTTTTCTTTAACGTTTACCGAAAATTGTGTTTATATACCTAGGTAGATACTAGCTAGTATTAAAAAATCATACGTACGTACGTACTTAGTATTAAAAAACATAATAAAAGTTTTACATATAAGTACGAGCGTAAGTACACTGTTTTGGGAAATAAACATATTTAAGAAACTCAAGAAAACTTATCTAATTTAGGTCTAATTTCAGTTGAACAACCCATTCTAATTTCTAAGGTAGTATCTCCATTTGAAGAGTGATAAATACTGGGTCAAAAAATCGACTATTTTTTTTAAGTACATACCTATATCGAAAATATTGTTAGGGTTGACAAAAAAAAATTATTGTAAAAGCTTGAGTCCATAATATTAATATTAATATTAATCGTTCGACTTCGTACACTTTCGGTCGCGCGCTCTCAGTAACCAATCCGTGACAGACGACAGAGGCGTACTAGATAAATTTTTAAATAGCGCGAAACAGTATTGTTGCAAAATAAACACACAAAAGTGAGTTTAACAAAATTGACTCGAAAATATTTTTTGAAGGAAATTGAATGCTCTACAAAAAAGTCTGATTGAAATTTTTCGTCAGATAAACCGTTTTCCTACAATAATGCCTTAAAAATAGTTTTACAATTTGATCTTTGCGGAATTTTGTAATTCATGTTAAAATCAGTACCCGGAAAAAACCGATAGATATTCTTATGGGAAATCAAATGCTCTACAAAAAAAGTGTCTTAAAATTTTTAGCTAAATTCACTCCATCAAAAGTTATTCAAGGTTAAAGTTGAAGTCAAAACGAAATTCTTGTTTTTTCCGCTGTAGATTTTTTTTGGGTAAGTTAAAACCTTGAATTCTTTTATCGATGATAATCTTTATGTTATTAACAAAATTACTAAAAATTTAAAAAAAAATTATAACACATTCGAATTTTTTCGCTTTAAGAAGCTATTTTTTTTTAGGAAATATCATTTTCAGTGTTTTTTAATCATTTAAATAATAACAATCATGTTGTTTTTTTATTGGAAATTGTTCATTAGTTATATAATATAGATATAGAAAAAAAATGAAATTATCATCCATAAAAAAATATATTTACATCGGAAAAAACAAGAATTTCTTTTTGACATTAACCTTGAATAACTTTTGAGGGAGTGAATTTAGCTAAAAATGTTAAGAGACTTTTTTTGTAAAGCATTTGATTTCCCATAAGAACATTTTTCCGAGTACTGATTTTTACATGAATTACAAAATTCGAAAGTTGTAAAACTATACCAATTTTTAAGGCATGGTTGTAAGGAAACGGTTCATCTGACGGAAAATTTTAATGAGACCTTTTTTGTAGAGCATTTAATTTCCTTCAAAAAATATTTTTAATTCAATTTTGTTAAACTCAATGATTTGTGAGTTCTGAGACAAAAACTCGCTCAGGAAAAAAAAATCTAAAATTGCAATGTTAATTAATATTAATATTATGGACTCAAACTTTCACAATTTTTTTTTGTCACCCAAAACAATATTTTTGATATAGGTACAAAAAAAATAGTCGATTTTTTTGGCCCAGTCCAGTATACCTATAGGTATACCTACTTGGTAAAAATATTAATAATATTAAAAAACGTATTTTAATTAAAATATTCATACTTTATTTTTAATTAAAGTATCATTAAAAACTTAAAACAACATAAAAAGTAAATAACGTTAGTACTAACAATATGTATAAACTGTTAATTTGTTGTTATAATGGCATATATGCCATTATTATTATAATAATTATAATTGAGGTTTAAAACTGTAATATTTTTGTGTTTCTTAAGTTAGCAGCAGGAAATTTAAAATTACAATTTTAAAAAGTTCTAAAAATAGTAGGTAGGTATATTATTGATCAAATTTGATAAACGCCAATTTAGTCACGAAATTTATTTAGACACGAGCTTGTAAGCGAGTCCTTAATAAAATGAGTGTCAAGAAAAGTTTATAAACAAGTTGCAATAGGTATACTTAACAAATACTTAAAAAATACAAATATTTAAAAAATAAAAAAGAATTTGAATTCAATATTTTTATAGAGCTGCAACTATACAAAAAATTAGGTAACCATTTTTGTTAGAAATTCTACCTTGGGAATCTTTATTACCGGCAGCTATTAAAATGGCCGTATTTGTCAATTTTTTCTAAAAATTAAATTTATTGTAATTGGACTAAGAACCGTTTAAATACGTCAAAAATTGGATTTTTTTCTCGTTCCGATATTATTTTTTAATTTAAAAATAATAATGATTCTGAAAATTTCAAATCGATATTTTAATTTCTAAAGGTCGCTCAAGATTTTTTTAACTTTCAAAGTAGAGTATTTTGAATGTTTTCAAGCGACCTCTGAATATAAATATCAACGAACTTTTAGCGACCTTTAGAAATCAAAATATTGATTTGAAATTTACAGAATTTTTATTATTTTTTAGGTTGAAACCTAAAAAATAATATCGAGACGAGAAAAAGAATTTAAATAAAACAAAAATTCAATTTTTGACGATTTTGAAAATTTTTAAAAATCTTGAGCGACCCCTACAAAATTTTTAATCGAGCTGATATTTTGAAAGGGCTCTTACAGCATGATAAACTAACATATTTTTACAAGAGACAAGAAAAAAAATATATTCTTTTTTTTTGGGACACCCTAATATAGATATATTCGGTTTTAGTCTGAACGAGCTGTATTTATTTACGAATGTTAAACCTTGCTCTCCAATAAAATAAAATCATTCAAATCTTTTTTAATAGGTTATTATTGGCAGAATGGAGGAAGAGCTGGAGGAATACATAAGGTCCAGAAATGCAGCTCCCGTTGACACCTTAGAGCGAATGAAGTCCGAAAAAGTAAGTAAAAGATACGTTTAACTAAACACACATCCATTTTACAACATTTTAGATTGACGTGGAGGCTATACTCGCCATGGGAGAAGAAGGGCTTAGATCGTTTATAAAACTTGCCGGGGATCGGTGGGCAATTATAAACTTTTGTAAACGAAATGGTAAATTAGATAGGTTTAGTCTTATTGAACGTATAAAAGCCAATCAATATGGTACAAAAAAGCAACCAAAGGAAAGAGTAATAAAGACGATAATGAGCCTAAAGCAGTACAAAAATCAACACCTTTAATGGCCAAAAAAACACCAAACGAAAAAATTACCAGAAAAATTAGTATTGGTTGGATGCTAGATGGTACTACTGTACGCGACAGACGTGGTGGCGGAACACGCTCTTGTTCCATGAGTAAGGAGGCTAAAAAAGCCGATATATTAGAGAAGGCATTGGATCTCTTTTTCCCCAATGGAATCTCAGCTCATGCAGGTCAGTTAAACGAATTTATTTATGACCTCCTGGACTTCAAAATGAATTCTTTGGACGATAAATTAAATATTGGTGAAATATATGAAATAACTCAGCTGACAACATTGAGGTTTTATTTATCAACTAATAGAATTACCCACACAAAAGAAAAATGTCATTCCAGCAAGCGCAAGAAAGGAAGGAAATCTAAAAGTAAAAAAACAGATAGCGAGGAAGACAAAGAAAATGCTAGTGGCGAAGACCACACTGATAAGGAAGTTAAGTATGACAGACATGATATCGATATCGATTTTAATGACTTATGCAGTGAGGACGTCACTGAAGTTGAAAGCGCTTATATAAACTCATATGATATAGATGCCGATTTAAGTGAATTTTTAACATTTCCTGCCAATAATGTGTCATTGAATACAAATGAACCTAATGAAGCTGTAGTTGTAGGTCTCGACCACACAAATGAATCTTCTACATTGTCTGCTTGGAAAACAATAAGTTTACATCGAGGACAAGTATTTAAGGAAATGACGAAAGAATTTTTACAAATAGAGAATATTTTCACATATATTGACGTAGAAATAACAGGGCAAAATGGTCAACGGGAATTAGCTATTGGCACTGGGGTATTTAAAGACGCATTGACAGAATATTGGAACGAGTTTTATGAAACTTTATGCGAAGGGTCTTCTTACAAAGTTCCAGAGGTGAATTATCTATATACCGAAGAAAAGTGGAAGGCGATTGCTAAGGTATTGTTTGTTGGTTATAACCAAATTAAATATTTCCCATCTAAAATAGCAAGACCTTTCATAGAATATGCAATATTTGGTAAAACTACGTTAGGCCTTACAGATTGTTTCTTGTCATTCATTCCGCAGATGGATTCTGACGTAGTAAGAACTGCGTTAAACAGTTTCCAGAATGTCGATGATACGGAGCTCCTTGATGTCCTTTCCAATTTGGACTGCCAGCAAATTGTAAATAAGTATAATATTAAACAGGTCATAGAAAATTTAGCCCATACTGCAATCATTCAAAAGCCTATGTTTGTCTTAGATTGTTGGAGTACGGTTTTAAAAAATACACTTTCCCACCAGGACTTAGAGAAAATCTACGAAACAAATAAAATTACTAATGCATCAGTCATTAAACTACTTAAGGTTTATGATGAAAGTTTGACTACCGAGAAAGAAAAAATCATGGGATTCATTAAGAAATTTTTAAGAGAAGCAGATTGTGACATGTTAAGTAAATTTTTACGATTTTGTACCGGTGGGGATATTATAACAGGTGACTCCATTCAAGTAGAATTTAAACATGTAGAAGGAGCACAAAGATGTCCTACCGCTCATACATGCAACAACATATTGGTATTACCTCTCAACTATGAAACCTACAGAGCATTCAGAGCAGAATTTAGCCATATTCTAAAAAGCAACATGTGGTGCATGGACATAGTATAATTCTGTGGAAAAAAAGGTGATATGTCGAAAAAGGCAATTTTTCAGAAGATCCTTAAACGTGTTTGCATTAATTCAGGACATATATTTATTGTTAGCGGGTATACTCTTTTGCTAGTATATGACATGTGCTGACAAAAGCGTCTCCCTGCTAACCATAAATATATTTCTTTAATTAATGGGAACACGTTTTAAAGGTTTCAACAAAAAATTGCTTTAAGTATTTGACTTGTCCACTAACTCCTTTGGAAAATTAATGGCAGCCAGTTTCAACTTAAAAGGTACCTGGCTGTAATTTGAAAACGATAAGCAAAATGCGTCATAAAACATGATTCATACCAGGCTGCCACATTTTTTAAGTCAAATTATTCATGAAAAACAAGTGCCAGCCGGTTTGCATTTGTACATGGCATACTAAAGGTAACTGAAATGAACAATTAAAAAAAAAAATTGTAATGCCATGTACAAATGCAAAACGGCTGGCATTCATGAATAATTTGACTTAAAAAAGTTTTATATCTTTGGCAGCATATATCAATGACTTTTTGCCAAAGTATCGCAAGCAAAATAAACCAAATTTCGGGAATTGAAAACATTTTGCTTGTCTGTTTTAAATTAAATATAGCCTAAAGGTTTTATAACACGTAAATAGCTTATAATTATAGCTATTTACTTGTTATAAAACCTATATGTTTAAAACAGACTTTAAAACAAAAAATGTTTCCAATTCCCGAAATTTGAGTTATGTTGCTTGCGATACTTTGGCAGAAAGTCATCGATATGCTTCATATATGCATATAGGTACGAGTCGTTTGACTAGTTGAAACTGGCTGCCAATAATTTTCTTTATTTCTTATACATTTTCGACCACCTGGTATAAATTGTTAATTATGTCTCATTTTCAATACATTTTTCTAGAAAATACCCTACATGCGCCTGGTATTAGACGTTCTCTAAAATGGTTTATACTACCTCTTGGTCTATTAGATTTATTTTAGTTAATGTAAATTTCGGTTTATTTTGTTATGTTTATACAAATAGCTTTGTTAACTATTTTTTAGTTCAACTAATTTTTTTATAGTTTTAAGAAATTCTTGTTTATTTTATAGAATGTGAACAAGGGTGTTTATTTTATAGAATGTGAGTGTGTTTATTCTTTCTGTTTTTTAATAAAAAAATAATTTTGCTAGCAGCTCTTTCATTAATTTTTTTTAGAAGTAATTTTTAATTCCCTATTCAATATTGAAAAATACCAAGTTTCATATTTGGCAGATAGTGTTGGTGGTACAAGAGGTATAATTTAAGCAAAAAACGGGCTCCTCACTCTTGCCAGGGGTCCACGGTAGGGGTTCTGTATGATTATATCCAATTATAATCGTATCTAATCTTATAGAATTTTATAAGATTGTAGGTAGGGATTACAACTTTTATAGAACAATCCAATCATTTTTTAAATGTAATTTTTAGCTTTAATAAAAGTAGAAAAATTATTAAAAATAACTAATTTGTTTACAAAATAAACTATTTTAAACATCATATAATTAAAAAATTATCTGGTTCAATTTACTTCCTTAGTCTTCTATAATTTCATACACCTTTTCTTTTAACTTAATGTACATTTGGCTGGCTTCATATGGATCACTAAAGGAACAACTGAAGTTGTTCTCCAATATGAGTTCTTCACATAATGTTTTCATATCCTCATCACATTGATTGGTATGAAAAGTGCATTCTTGTTCTAAATTTTCTATAACTGCTGCTGGGATATCCACCAAACAATTTTCACAATGGTATAAATATGGCGCCTCGAACATAATTATTGGTCGTCCGGTAGGTGATATGCTATTTCTGCTGCTTCTTATTCTGTGTGAATTCCATTCGCCTACCACTTGATCTAGTTCGTCCTATAATGAAAGAAAAATATCATTATTAACCATTGATGAATTAACCTTGCATTTTATATAAATTGTTACCGGATTATAAAACACTAACCTGTATGAGCGTCATAAAGCAGAATTGAATTAGCGATTTATCAACAAAAGTGCCATTAAATAATCCCTCCTCTTTTAAAGTTTGGAAAAGGTTAATCCAATATTGCACGTTTTGCTTGCGCAAGATGCACCACCAAGACTCAATTCTTTGATTTGCGGTACTGCGTCCATAAAGAAATGCTGGCTTTTGGCTTTCCTTCATTTCAAAAAAACTTTTTAATGCTGTCTGAATCCTTTCCATAGTTCCGTTCTCAGTACCCATATCGCTACGTACCGTTTGTGGACAACCTCCCAAACTTTTGACAGCCCGTACATAGTAGCCAGCGATTACTTTTGGGTCACTTGAAGTACGTCCTGCTTTGAGCCACATTATATTTCTTGAAAAGCCATCAATGGCGCCATTTATACAAATTCCGTATGGCTTAAGTTTATCGTAAGAGTCAACATGCCATACATAGTTTGGTCCTTTGCTGACATACTGTCTCCTTCGTAATCTTTTTCTTTTTCTAATATCTACCCCTGTCGGATCTAGAAGTTTCAACAACTCCCTAACCGTTTCTTGGGTTACCACTAATCCATGTTGGATGCATTTTAAATGCATCCATCGGTATCCATGCATTTGACCAGATCCTGACAACTGGCTTTCTATGAACGCTGCGACCGTGTTTGGATTTGAGAAGTTTCTTCGTCTATATGGGTTATTCTCAAAATAACTACAATCTTTGCGTGACGTGTGTTTTTTATCCCATATTAAAAAAAAAATGTAAAAATAAGTAACATTTTTAATGTACACAAAGTTAACTAACAGTACTTAAAGTAAAAAAAAATAAGAAAAAAAAACACCGCCCAAAAAACTGATCTGAATAGAGATATTGTCCTTTCCGTGGAACGTGACTATATCGTGTTGGTAAGTTTCAGTTAATGTAGTGAAAAGCCTGCATATTAAAAAAACCTAAAAAATTGCCATTATTATTAAATACCCCAAAAATACATAGATATGGTTCATATTCCTTTTTATTCTTTTTAATTTAATATTGTAGTTTAGTCATTTATACGTTACCAGTTTCGATCCATTCCGAGGACTTATTTGTAAGTGCAAAATTTCAAAAGTATTTCGCGCCACTCACGTCAACCGTTAATTTTATGTCATTAAAAAACTTGTCATTTGTTATTTAAGTCGCCCTTGTCAGTTCTTTTTTGAAAGGTTGTAAAGAAGCGTTCATGTTTATGTACGAGGCTCCAGTGTAGAAGCATAGGCTGTCCTTTCTGTTACAATTATATTTCAAACAGTAAGTATTGAATTATTTTCTAATTATTGTCATTATTATTGTCAAAGTTTTTATTTTTGGCACATGACAAATGCGAAGGCATAACCTAAAATTTACCTTTCTTATAGAGAATAATATACATAGATGTCCATTCAGTGGACGTCTTTTCTGTGGACATAATTTACCCATAAATAGAAAAATTAAGGTTTGCATGCAATATCAATCTTATTTTAGTTTAGGATTTAACTAAAGCTTTACAAAAATGCTCTTGTAATAATATTACCAAACTTTTTAGTATTAAAAAAATAATAAACCGAAAGTGTAGTTATTTTGAGAATCACCCATATGAGTTATTCTTTTTTAGAATTCTCTTCAGATTCCTGGGACTTATTATTATGTTATGAACAGATTCCAGCATAGTTATAATTTCTCGTTGTTGTAAGCCAAGCGAGAAGTATTTTACTACCATGTCATCTCTTGATTCCATTTTTTACACAGATAGACCTAAAAGGATTAGGTATTGGTCTAATTTTACTTATATAAGTAAAGTAGTATGGCATCTTACCTTTACGTAGGTACATACGTATGTATAATATGACCTAAACCACTATTTAATATAGCGCACTGTTAATGTTAACTTTTATTAGGCACAATATTCCGTCACCAAATTCCAAAATAGAATAGACATTTTATTAAACAATTTGACATATATAGTAGGTACGTACAAAATTCCGAGATATAACACGGAATTTTAAAATTCCGAGATATAACACGGAATTTTAAAATTCCGAGATATAACACGGAATTTTAAAATTCCGAGATATAACACGGAATTTTAAAATTCCGAGATATAACACGGAATTTTAAAATTCCGAGATATAAAGCGGAATTTTAAAATTCCGAGATATAACACGGAATTTTAAAATTCCGAGATATAACACGGAATTTTAAAATTCCGACATATAACACGAAATTTTAAAATTCCGAAATATAACACGGAATTTTAAAATTCCGAGATATAACTCAGAAATTTGTAAAAAATACAGATTTAAATTTTGGATGGCCCTTCTACGCCTTCGTAGATTTGTTAATTATTAACTAAACGGTTAAAAATTTTTTTTTCAAAATATAAATACAGTGTGACCCATTTGTTTGCGACTCACCCCTGTAAAATCTTTATTTATTGTGCGATTTTAACCGGATTTGTTTTAAAGTGTAGATCTTGATAAACTGTATTTTTGGTGCAAAAGACGCCATAATAGTACAAAATACAAGGCCTAGGCCTTGTATTTTGTACTATTATGGCGTAGTAGCTACTATGTCAGTTTTTAAGATTAAATTTTTAAGAATTCATATTACCGATTTTTTAAGTAAAATCTAACCACCCCTCAAAACTACCCTATACTAAATTTAATAAAAAAATTTAAAATTAAAATTGCACAAAAATAACTACAAAAATTTATTTTGTCAAGTTATCCATGAAAACACATTTAAATAAAATTAAACTAATAGTAGCATGGTACTATAGACTATAGTCTATAGTATATATATAGTATATATATTTACTGTTTAAAACAAATCCGGTTAAAATCGCACAATAAATAAAGATTTTACAGGGGTGAGTCGCAAACAAATGGGTCACATTGTATATCATCAGTAGGTTTTTTGGCCAAATCTATAGACGGAATTTTTTAATTAAATTAAAAGTGTGATGAAATTTCTACTTGTGTATATATACATCAGATATATAAAAAAGTAGTATTTTACTACTTTTAATTTTATTAAAAAAAAATCGTCGAGCGATTTGGCTAAAAAACTAGTCAATTGTAATGGTACGATATATGGGGCACTTAATTTTTTAACATTTCTTAATTTATTATTTTAAGGCTTTACGAAATATGAAACTAGTTCTAAATATTTAACTTAAAATTGTATAAACTGTTTATTAGTAACTTAATATTTGGACCCATTCTGTTTATATTATATAATTTATTAGGAACATATTAAACCTAAGCATTCCAGAGTTAGAGTCTTTGTCAACACGTAATAAAAATAGAATATAAGCCGTTTGACTTAGTATGATATTTATAAATCACTGTCAAGGTGCTAAGCGTAGACCTACGTGTTGGTGTCTTTAAGCATCCCATACTGCACTAGGGAGACTCACCAAAACCGCACGTATGTCTGAGCCATATCGGTAGACAGAGAAGGTTCTCACGTTCCAAATTAACCATATCGATAGGCCTGTGGCTTTGATAAAATAAACATAAAACCAGCATGTTAAAAACTGAAGGGAGGGTATTTTTTAAAACAGTTTGGTTTTGCTATTTGAAGGGTCAGTATATTTTAGACAGTTGAAGGGATTAGTTGAATTCCTTAATTTTGGAACAGTTTGGTTTTGCTATTTGAAGAGACAGTTACGTGTTGCTATTTGAAGGGATTAGTTTAATTCTTTCATTTTATCAGGGAGTGAATTTAATAATACATTGATTTTATATAACTTCAGTTTTTGTGAAAGTGTTGTTCATTTAAATAGGTATGCCTTTTCTATATTTAGTTATTATAATCTGAGGTCACAAATATCATAATGAGTGGTTAATTCTTTAATATTTAATTTAAACTATATTTTATTATTATTAATTCAACTTGTTTGTTTGTGAGAGAAATAATTATTAACTTATTAATAAGTTGAATTATTTTATCTTAATGTTGGTGGTTGGACAACCAAATCATAATCATTATTTTATGTTTATAATTATTATATTTATATTACATTTACTTTAACATATTATATTGTAATGTAATTTTACATTTTACTACATATTTATATTTAACATTTATATACGTTATTTTGTACAGTTTATCTTATTTTATTTATTTGATAAATTGATATTCATTATTTAATATAGTGAGACTTGTTTCAAGTTCGGCATATCAAATGAGTTATTTAGTTAGGGAACTTTGTTGCCGGTTGCTGGTAATAGGATGGTGGATACAGCTCTGCTTTGACAGGCGCACCCAATGGCCAATAATGCCAGGTAGGTAACCAATTTAGACAAAGAATGGTTATATAGGGATATTGATATGAAGTTGTTGTTTTATGGTCTTATTTTATTAATTAATAAATAAAATGATTATCAATATATTGATAATCATTTTATTTTACTATATTTGATTTGCACTGATATAATTTTATTACTTTATCATACCTGATTGTATTTATCATTTATGACTGTACATCAATTTTATTGCATAACTCTTGTCCACCACTATACCACTTGTTATTTATATATTTTATTTATACAAATACCATTTATTATTGTTGCTTGTGACCTAAGTTATATTATACTTTATGTTTCACATTATTGTTGTTTAAACAACAATTGTTGCTGTACATTGATAATTATTTCAATGTGTATTTGCTTTTCTACACCGTCCGAGCCTACCATTTATGTAGGTGAATAATCTTAGCAATATGATAATATAATTTATTATATTCATATTGATTACTTTGATTTTGTTGTATTATTTATATTGTTGAGATGTGCGACATATATGCATGTCTGTATATACAATATTGTATATGTGGGTTTTTAAGGTTTTACCTTATTAACTTAAATCAATCATACTTTTCAAATACAAATGTTTTTATTTATATTATTAATGTACAGTAACAATAATTAACTCTTGTATTAATTGCCTTTATTAATAAACTTATTTTAATTTAATACTTTTTCTTTGCTTTTTAAATATCTTTTCAATTGCTCAAGTACTTACGTATCCAGAACCGTATTCACAACAAAAAGGGGTCCTAACTTAATTTCTTTAAACTAGACGATCACGTGTTTTGGCCAAAGGTAGTTTTTCTGTGGTTTTAATATTCTTTTTAATTATTAATGTGTGCCCCCCATGTCCCGTTCGCTAATAGTAGCATGGTACTATAGACTATAGTCTATAGTATATATATAGTCTATAGTATATATATTTACTGTTTAAAACAAATCCGGTTAAAATCGCACAATAAATAAAGATTTTACAGGGGTGAGTCGCAAACAAATGGGTCACATTGTATATCATCAGTAGGTTTTTTGGCCAAATCTATAGACGGAATTTTTTAATTAAATTAAAAGTGTGATGAAATTTCTACTTGTGTATATATACATCAGATATATAAAAAAGTAGTATTTTACTACTTTTAATTTTATTAAAAAAAAATCGTCGAGCGATTTGGCTAAAAAACTAGTCAATGTAACTTATTTGTACAAAAGAAATAATATTTATTTATATTTTTGTTAGAATTATTAATTTTCTTCTTATTTTTTAAGTACAGTGTAGAGTTGTTTTTATTTAATTACAGAAAGATTCTCCAAAAAACCTCCAAAATTTGTAATTTAGCCGTGGGAGCCCTGTATATTTAATATCAAACGATAAAAAACCCTGTATAGGAAAAATAATGGTCTTAAATTAATGTATTAAAAGTTTATTTATGTTTAATATAGCACATAATTACAAATATAATTGTTAAGTGACTAAATAGTAAAATAACACATCTATCTTAAATTATATAAAACAATTCTACAAAATCCAAAATTATTAAATAATTTGGTAACAAATTATTTTAAAATACTATTTAAAGTTATATTAAGTACCTTACCCATTATTTACATTTAAAATTGTTATTTACAAAGTTTTACACGTATTGTTAAGTCCTAATATAGCACCATTATTCAATGATATTCAAGATAAATCAGTACATTGAATACTAAAATAAGGGGTTAGATAAATAATAGCAAAATAAAGCTTTTTTAAATGAACAATTCAACTTCCCTTTCACTAGGTATCTGAGCGTAATGAAAGGGAAACAAAACTATTAAAGAAAATATAAGGCACATTCTTCTTGAATAAATCTAAAAAACTGTCAATAGGCTCTTCTCGGTCACAATTTAACGAACGTTAAATTTGAGAGAAAAATTTGATGCAGCTGATGGCACTAGTGTAAATAATTATGTGCTGAAGCCTAAATTGGAAATTTCGAATCACAACCGCTGGGTGCTTCCGGTGTGTTTGCTTTTTTTGGTCATCTTGAACCAACCAGCGGACTTCTCGGGATCTCTGGGCATGGACACCGATCTAGAAACGTCCCTGTCGTCCCTGCTCCTTCTACCCGATCTGTTGCTACCGAGAGACTCCACCGAAAGGCTTTTGGAGCTGATCTTCTTCTCCTCCCTGTCTCTGGAGTAGCGGGAGTTTTCGCGCGGCAACTTCTCCTTCTTCTTGTACAAAGTGGAGTTGGAAGATCTGGCGAGGTCGCCGTTGGACTTCCTGAAGTTCGACGTCGCCAAATTTTCTTTGCTCTTCGATTTCCTCGTCAGAGTCGACTGCGTCTGGTTGCGGCGCGTCTCCTGCGCCTTCTTCTTAAGCGTGGACGAGCTATCTTTGCGACTAGATCCGTTTTTCGATACTTTCTCGTACTTTCCGTTTTTCGTTTGTTTCGGGTACTGCGTGTAATCTATATCCATTGCTTCGCGATAATGCCGCGGCTTCCATGGCGCCAGCACGGAGAACGATCGGCTGAGGGTTTTTACTTGCGGCGTCATGCGACTCGAACTGTTCGACGCCAGTTCTTCCCTGGACGCTGCACGTCGGCCGTTTCTCAAGTAGCCTGGCCCAGGAATGTCACCAACTACAAAGAAAAAAGTTACGATAAAATATTTTATTAGTTTACACAATAATTTGTGTACTAATCATAAACTAAGATTTATCCCTGATAGCACAGTTTATTCTAAGAATGTTTTTTAAACCTTCCAGTGAGAATATTCTTAGGATCATGCTATATTTCTTCTAGTCATGTTCTAAGAATGCTTTTTAAACCTTCCAGTGAGAATATTCTTAGGATCATGCTATATTTCTTCTAAAGATAATCCTAAGAATATTCTCACTGGCCTATAGGCAGGTTCTTAGAAGGTGCAAAGTTTAGTGGTAAAAATTAATCCACTCTTAACATACCTATGCTTAGAATGTTGAGAAAGTAATTGCTATAGAAAGTTAATTTAGGAATATTCCTGGAACATTCTGTTAAGCATATTCAGTTCAGTTAGGTACCTATCTAATAGTAAAATATACCATAATCTACGTATAATGAAGATTTTATGAAGAACTATTTGGTTTTTTCTTTTATGATGAATTATTTTATAAGGAAATATTTTGTTTTTTCATATTTTATTTTATGTTAAAAATAAATATTTATTAATTTGTACCTATACCGATTTTTTATTTCTGAATTAACATTTTTATGTATAATAATCCTAACTATCTTCAACTTCAATCTAATCTGACTTATCCCACAAAATTTTCCAATTTTACTTTTTATGAAATAATGTCATACAACTTATGGTTTAGAGGTCAAATAGTTTATTTAATATTTTTTAATAAATATATATTAATATGTCGCAAAATTTTTTAAGGGGACGAAAAATACATTTCACTGTCATATTATGTATTTGTCGCCTCCTGAAGAATTTTACGAATGTATAATCCAACATATTAGAACGTGGGTATCTGACATATTTGGAAATATTCTCAAAAGCTTCCTAGAAGCTCCATAAGAAACCTTCTAAGAACATTCCAAAAACGTATTCTTAAAATGTTCTTAGAATGCTTTTTAGGAAGGTTTTAAGAAGCTTCTAAGAATCTAATTGCATCATTAAAAGGGTATCTATTGAATGTTTTAAAAGTCCCTAAGAACATTCTTAGCAATAAGGGAAGGTTCTAAGAATATTCCATTATTCCGGGTCATATCTTCTTATAAGATTCTTAGAATCAAATTTTGCTATCAGGGATAATAATTAATAATAAGTATAAAAATTTACCTAACAACCCACCCAGCAAAATGCCCTCCAAAATATGTCTAATAGATATCTTGATTAAGATATACGAGGTCTAAAAATATATCAGTAAGATATCTATGACACGCCGTTTAAGCATTTATTAAATAAAAGTTTAAAGATTAAAGTTTAGCACTTAAATTATGTTTTAACAGAAATTTATAAAGTTAAATTCAAAACAATTGATAGTCAAAAAATATTTTAAATAGGTATAAAATGCAACAGTAAAAATTTATGTTTAAAAATAATGATTTTTAAAAGTTTTGATTGTAATATTTTATTCTAAAAAATTATTGGTTTAAATTTTTAAAGAGTCATTTAAATGATAGTTGATAAATTTTTAATACAAAAATTTTCACATTACATTAAATGTAAGTTTTAAATTTTAAAGTAATAATTTTTGGATTAAAGATTTATAGACTATCATTTAAATGACTCTTTACAAATTTAAACCAAATTTTTTTATTTGTAACAATTTTGAGAATTCTTTTAATAGACATCAACAATGTAAATTTTCATTTTTAATTTAAAGACACATTTTTGTAGGAAATTTTACGCTTAACGTTTACATTTATGTATATAATATCGGAGGACAAATAGCAAATTATGAATATTTTCATGTCATTTGGGCAGGGTTAATAACAACCAATTTTTTTTCGAAATCGTTTTTAGACCGCAAATAAATAGTTTAGATGATACCCAAGAAAAAAAATAAGTAACGCGGCACAGTGTCTGTCGTACACCCTAATACCCTTGGGTCAACTGCATCCAGAATATATTAGAAAGATATCTTTCTGATATAATTAATATACATTCGAAATTCGAACTATTCAAATAGTTTGATTATTCGAATGGTTTGAATTATTGTAGTGATTTGAATTGTTCAAATACTACTAGAAAATTTAAATTTTTCAGTAAAAATTATTATAATCAATTATTTGACGGAACATTTTTTTTACAAATATTTAATCATGGAAATACTTTTTTAAATAGTTTGACTAATTAATAATTAAAAATTTAAATTAAATACATAATAATACAGGGTGCACCAAGTTTCCTTATATGGGTATTTTTTGTTATTTGAAGAGCTATAAGGTCGGTTAAATTAGAGAAAAGTTGCGTTCTTACAAGTCTGTTAACATAAAATTTATAAATTGGAAAAAAGCCAGTACTACTTAGTTCTCAAAATATTTGAAAAAAACAAAAAACCTTTCAAAATTAAAAATCGTTATAACTTTGTTATTCCTGGGTATTTTAAAACAAAGTAAGTTTTACTTGTAAACATGTAAACACATTAGGGTGAGCCAAAAAAACTAACCTATCGGATTTATGGGTTAAAATGAACCTACATACCGAGCAAAAAATTTCCCTGCAAGGCAAAATTTTTTGTTCAATTTTAACAGGTGTCGGTGAGCATTCTAAGTTTTCCATTGAAATAACACATAATTTGTTCTAAAATTGTTAAATTTTGAACAAAATTTTTGGCCAAAAACAATACTGTAATGATGCCCCAGCCTCCATATTCGCCAGACATGCCTCTGTCTGACTTTTTCCTATTCCCAAAAATAAAGAGAACCTTAAAGGGCCGTCGTTTTGCAAGCATAGATGACATTAAAAGCGCATAGCTGAAAGAACAAAAGGCTATCCCAAAGATCGAATTTTAGAAGTGTTTCGAGTATTGGAAGAAGAGCTGGCACATATGCATAATATCCAATGGGGACTATTTTGAAGGCGACAACATTAATGCAGACGAATAAATAAATATTTGTTTCAAAAAACGAAAATTCCCGATATTTTCTGAATACACCTCGTTATTTTTCTACTCAAATTATTAAATTAATATTGTTCTCATAATATATCGATGAATTTTTGCCAAAGTATCGCAAGCAAATTTTAAGAATTGAAAACATTTTGCTTGTCTGTTTTAAAATAAATATAGCATAAAGGTTTTATAATAAGTAATTACTTAGCTTATAATTATAGCTATTTACTAGTTATAAAACCTATAGGTTAAATATGGTTTAAAACAGACTTAAAAAAAAAACATGTTTTCAATTCCCGAAATTTGAGTTATGTTGCTTGCGATACTTTTAATAATAACATAACATTTATAAAATTTAATATTTACTTTTAGGCAATACCTACAGAAAAAATATGGTCCTTACCTGTAGCTGCATGAAGATAGACAATACTCCTCTGCGACTGCTGGCTGCTGTCTCCTTCGGTGGAGCTCTCCACAGAGCTGACTTCATTCTTCCTTCTCCTCACTCTATCGTCCCTGCTGCCTTTGGAGGAAACCTCCCTGGTTATCCTGTGGTTAGGCGATTTGGGCGGCTTCAAGCTCTGCTTCGATCCCTTCAGGTCGCGATCCGTCTCCGAGATGTTCGTCATCGACTTGTAACTCGACTTCCTCTTGCTGAGGTCCGGCGTGCGGATCTCCTCGGATATGTTGTGCAGGTCCCTGGACGATTGGCTGCGGAAGCGGTCGCCGCGGCTCATGATGCCGGGTCGCGACTTGAACGACGATTTCACGCGCGTGCTGTCGTTCGATTCGATGTCGGTGTCTCCGAAGAATCGGAGGTTTTTCGTTGGGGTCGGTTTCGCGGGCGAGTCTTCTTCGGTGCTTGTCTGGTTGCCGTCCCTGTCGTCCTAACAATGACAAACAAGTATTTTAATTTTTGTATACAAAAGATGTACTTAGAGATGTAAAAAAACGGTGTTTTTCAGATGTGAAAAAAAACATGAAAAAAAAACTAGAAAAAAACGGTTTTTTTTGTTTTTTTTCAAAATAAAATTTTGAGTAAAATGTTAAATATATATAATTTTTCATTATTGAAAATTTCTTATTATTTGGTAGTTTCCACATTAAAAACCAATAGCAATGTAAAACTTCTACACTAATACAAACAATTTAAGGATAAATTTTTTTTTGCGATTTTTCGGATAGCTGTATATATGTATTTGTTAAAAATGGTCGTATTGGAGCCGTAAAAAAAGCAATTTGAAGCTTATTGGTCAAATCGGTGGTTGTGGCGAGTGCATAACGCGAGACTGTATTTATATTTAATAATTGTCATTTAGTGGCTAATTTTAGTCCATGAAAACATAAAAAATTAGGCAAATGGGACTAATCTTGAAAAAAAACCTAAAATGTGAAAAAAAACCATTTGAAAAAAAACGATGAAAAAAAACCTGAAAAAAAAAACGCAGCGTTTTTTTTTCAAGTCGCATCTCTAGATGTACTCTTTTTAATTTTAGATTTAAAAACTACTACAAATATGTTTTCGTTCCTTTTATAGAAATTATTTTAGGATTTTTGTGTTAAATATTTAGGCAAATAATTGGTATAATCTGAGAAAACCATAGAAAAAAAAAGAGAAATAATAAAAGGTGCATAACTGAAAAATGCTATGCTTTTTAAATAAATATGTAATTCACGTTAATTTTAAATATTGATATTATTAACTAATATTAATATCAACTGAACAATAGCTAGAGTGCTTCATTTTAGAGCGACATTTTTTTTTCAAAGTCCCACTTGAAAATCTTGTAACCGGTCAGAAAACAAACATTTTGAGCTATTACAATGCTCTTAATCTTTATTTTAAGCAGATGCTATTCAATTTTTAAATATTTTCCCTAAAAAACATTTTTTTTCTTTTCTCCTTCCGCTCGTACAGTAAGAATATTTTTTTAGATATTCGGTTCTAAAATCTTTATACAGGATGAAATTATCTTAAAAAATGTCTATTTAAGCAAGTCTGTATGTTGAATATGTTCTTTACAAATTGCCGTTCTACTCGAAAATCTTCTAAAATAGCAGTAAATCGTATTTGGAGACCAAAGTATTGATTGTAGATATAAAACGTAAATGACAATTTTGTAGGGAATTTTGTGCCCTACAATTTTGTCACAAAATATTTTTCTGTATCACTTAAAGTTTAGCTTGTACAGCCACTCAAAGTGTCAAATTCTTAAAAATTCAGTTTCTGACTACTGTAATAACTATATTATTAGAGTTAGGTGAAAGTGTTTTTTAATGGTTTTTAAAGGGAAATATTTAAAAATTGAATAGCAACGGCCTAAAATAAATATTAAGAGCATTGTAATAGCTCAACATTTTTGTTTTCTGACCGGTTACAACATGTTGAGGTGGGAAATTGAAAAAAAAATGTCGAAATAAAATAAAGCACCCTACTTAACAAATATTACAGATATTCCCCAACACCAAAACAAAACACAAAGTGCTTAAAGTACTTTTTGCCAACGTGGTTGCCATCTTCAGAAGCGAAGTGTAACTAAATCCAACTGCTAAATCTACCATATTTATAATAAGGATAAGCTAAGGTTGACTGAACCGGGACACAGTTTACTAAACCGTGGACTGTAACTGCTTCAGTGAACACGTAAAGAAAAACTAACAATCTAATTTATACAAACTAGAGTTGGGTACCGGTCCGTTATCGCTGTAACTTTCGTAACTATCTAGCAGACTTGGTTCCCTAACTTCCTTAATTAGTTTAAGGTTGTCAAATCCTATTCTATAATTTCTCTGTCGTACCAAATCTAGCATGGGCCAAGTGCTCTCTAAACCTTACTTGGATGGATCGTTTAGTTTGTCCAACATATTTCTTGTTACAATCTTGACAGTTTATTTCGTAGATCCACAACTTTTCAATTTTAGGAATCTTATCTTTGGGGTTGCCTAAAAGGTCCAAAGATATATCTTCCTAAAATTAAAAAGTCGGGGATCTACAAAATAAACTGTCAAAATAATTTTGACAAAATTGTGACATGAAATATGTTGAATAAACTAAACGATCCATACAAGTAAGGTTCAAAGAGCACTGGGTCCATGTAGATTTGGTAGGACAGAGAACAAATTTTCATTTAATTGTTGTCATTTATTTGGGAAAATTTAGTAACGGATAAAACTCGAGACATAAGAAGAAAAGTTAATTAAATGTAATTAAATTTAATTTACTTAATCCAGAGGAGGCGCTGGGGGATGCCCACTAGATAATTAAAAATAAAATTTGGGTACCCGACTGCTTTTTTATAAGTTTAATATTATTTTTATATTAGGAAACTTAAAATAAAACTATTCTGTCATCTGCTTTTTTTCTCTATCTTGTTTAATTAAAAAAAAAAAAATAAAATTTGTTTATTTGCTCGCTCCTGGAAAAATTATAGTCACCAGCGGATAAATTAATTTAATTTGTTTCTTAAAAATTAAGCAAGATATAAAAAAAACGCGATATACAAAAAAGTTAATTGCTTCATCTAAATATAATATCAAACTCATAAAAAAAACAGTGGCATATGACATTTCTGTTAAACATGTTTAACAAAGATGATAAATAACAAATATAAAGAGGTTTATGTAAAGACGAAATAATTTCAATAATTCAACAAAATAGTTAGTCTCGATGAGATTTACAACCCCTTTTATGTTGCTTAATTTGAGTAGAAACACCCTGTATAATAAAATAGAGTAAAGAGAAAATCTGGAAGAAGGAACTGAAAAGCAGGCCCCCTCCAGCTCCAGTTTCCGTTCACGTTATATGATCTTAAATTTCAAGGGACCCCTGTGAACTTTATTCAGGCCTCGTGGTGATATAAGAAAATAAGTTTAATTTAATTAAGCTTTTTTGTGTTGACATATGAGGAGTGATTTTTCAAAAGGCCTTATTTCCATTTTTACTTTAATGTAATTTTTTGAGAAAATCCCAAAGGTATGGTTAAAAGGCATATATTAACGGCGAAATATGACAGCAGGTCTGAAGTATTATTAAATATTCATCAGAATTTGTTTTTAAATAATCTATATTGCCCTAACCTATACAGGTTATAGTCATTTTTTTGAAAAATTGTTGCAAATGGAAATACGACCTTTTGAAAAATCACTCCTCATTTGTGTCCTGCAAAATTTCAATTTTGTGGTGATGATCGCGGGTTTTGGGCTTTTTAGTCACTGGCTGAAGTTAGCTTTAAGTTATTTGTCACTTGTTATTAATTGTCATACAATCTGTTTTGTGGTTAAAATAAATAATCATATAATCACAAGTTTGTAATATGCATATGCTGGCATTTCCAAACTTGTGTCAGACTAACTTTTTTACACTTGTAAAAATTACTTACAAAAAAATAAATAAGAAGAAGAGTGAGGTTTAAATCGTTTAACAGATGTTAGATTTAATACGACAGGCGACTATGATGGTTTTGGAATAAGTAAGTTTGCAACTACCCGATTTCTCCAAATTATTCTTACACCGTAACAGAGTGGAAAAATATATGTTTGTGTGTTGTCGTAGAAAAAGTAGGTATACTAAGCAATTCGTTTTATAAACTTCTCTAGAAACTCGTTGATTAATCACTCGCTCCGCAAGCTTCGCTTGTGCCTAATTAAAACTCATGACTAAAATGCCGTTTATGAAACTTGTTTCATATCTTACTATTATAATTATAATTATTATAAAATTATTTGTACGTTTTGCAAAAATGGCGGATGCGCCGGGTTAATATTCTAAAATTAATTTATTCAGTACCTATTTGAAGAAAAAGCGATACGCATTTTAGTAACTAAAATCAATCGTTAAAAAAAATTAAAAACCGATTATTAAGATTAAAAATGGTGCAAAATATTTGTTTTAAATAAATATGTCACTTAACAGTTTTTTCCTCAGGAATTCTTTAATTACATGCAGGATTTGCAGGAGTTTAACTAAATTTAAAGTTTAAATTATTACTAATTACATTACAATAATTATTAGTAGTACTATTGGTATAATAATAACACAAAATAAAATTTTCTGTTTGACGCAGGGTGTTTAGGGTGTGCTTATTCCAAAAATGACCATCATTTTGCTCAATTAGCTCTTGTTTTTGCGATATTGAAAAAAACCGTTTTTTTAGATATGCAATTTTTTTGTTATCAAATACTTTAAGAAAGGATTATTGGTAATGTAGCTATGAGTCCTAAATTAGGACTCCTAGTTAAACTGAAAAAAATAAGCTATACAAATTCATGAACTCGGGAGCAAACAATGAGTTTTAAATAAGCATGTTTTTTAGGGGAAAAACTTTATGAATTTGTATAATTTATTTTTTTACAGTTTAATTAGGACCCATGGCTACATTATCAATGATTCTTGGTTAAAGTATTTGATTAAAAATATATATGTGAATTTGAATGTTTGCATATCGAACAAAAAAGTTTTTTACAATATCTTAAAAACAAGAGCTGATTGAGGTTATTTCCATTGTAACGGGTGCGACACTGACACTGCGCATTTTCATGATAATAAAATATTTGTTTAGAGAGGTATATCAAGATACGTTAATAAACAAAAATAGTACAACAAATTAGATATTTAACTCAAACAAAATGTCAATAAAAAATTGGTCGCATTTGCCGATTTTATAATGTCGCGCCCGTTACACGATTCATGCCGTTATAAAATATTTTCTATACAAGTTGGCTTACAAAGTTGATCCTGTAAAATTTTGGAAGAAAGCAAATATCTACATAGTAATTATTTGTTGAGTAAAACTTGAATAGTAACCTCAAACAAGCACGTATTTTAAATGCACAAATATTTTATACTTTTTCAAAATGTAACGGATGCGACATTTGAACTTTTTATCGAGTATTGAAACTATTCCGTGTTTATTCTTAATGCTAGGCTTCTTAGCATTACAATAAACGAATATTTTATGGTTATAAATTACGTCGCAATTAAACTATTTGACTTCAGATATAGTTTTTGTTTTGTTAAATAACATCTGAAATACCCTTGAGCAAATTACCCTAGAAAAGCTAATGTTTACCCTGAAGCAAGTAAACTTATTTAGTCTTCTTGCCCTGCTGACCAGTGTATTACACTGAGTGTAATCTTTGTTAAAAAAAACTAAAGATCATTAAAATATAAATTTGGTCTTCACACGATATCCTACAAGTTTATGATTATTTTAATAATCTACGATTTTTCTAGCTTTTAATGATTTCCTCTGTTTTAAGATTATCTTAACTATTATGTTTTCCTGTGACACTTTATATCTTTATTTGATTCCGAATTTTAAAATCAATTTAGAATTTTTTTTTGGTAATTATAATTGTTATCGCAAATGCAAATAAAAAGCAAGGTATTTTAAATTTAAGATTTAAAACATTTATTTTAATAATAACCTTCCTTAATAACTTTGAATTATAATTCCAGTGGAGTGTTTCCTGGTTGGGTGATAGATAATAATGGCGGGTGACGCAGACGACTACGATTAAGCAGAGATACATTTCTTACCTTTTTGTTTTTCTTTCGCGACAGCCGGTCCAAGGATTTGAACCAGCTTCCGTGGGTGGTTTCTGATTTTCCGTTTCGTTGCGTATCACGCGTAGGACTCGGGCTTGGCGTAGACAAACGTCTTCGATTACTGTAATCGTAACTCTGCAACAAAAAAACCAAAACATTTATTTTTGATCTTATGGGCATTTATCAAATGCTTGTGCACACAGAACTATGTAACGTTGTACCATCAAATTACAAATTTTTAATAAATATTGGCTATCTAAATTGTTTAAAATAATGGATTAAACAATCTAATAAGTTATTATTAGTAATAACTGTAATAAATCATTTGTTTTCATGGATTTATAAAAAATTATAAAAAGCAAAATCACAAATTTTAAATTACCGTAAAAAATCCAGTAAATTAAAATTAATTAAAATTAAATTAAATGCATCTCTACAGAGTGCTCTAAATATCCGACAAGGTCGGTTAAATTAGAGAAAAGTTGCAAGTCTATTAAAATTTAATAAAAAATCAGCGGTTCTCAAATAATTAAAAAAAACTAAAAACCTGCCAGAAACCAAAACTCGTTATTCCTGGGAATTTTTTGGAAAAAATAAGTTTCATATGTACCTATCCATGCACATTTATGTACATGTTAATCCAATTTGCTTTTTTTGCGTAATAGTTAACACAATATTTTGTTATAAAAAAAATCAAGGTATCCAACAATGTATCAAAGTACATAAGTTATGGGCGGTAATTAAAAAAACAAAAATTAGTGAGTCAAAAAAATTGTTTAAAACTAACTTTGTTTCATAATTCCCAGGGAGGGTTATAACGATTTTTGTTTTTGGCGATACATGAACATCACAACAAAAAAATGTTATCTGACGTTTGTTTGCACTTTTGTGCTTTAGCTCATCAAACAGTTGAAAACCTCGAAAAATAATTTCCTGCCCATTATTAAATCTATATGGTTTTAAAGCCAAAAAATCAAGCTTTCTAATAAGCCTAATTTTTTGAAAAATGCAATTAAAAAATAATATCAAATTTCATCATTTTTTTTAGATTTTTTGTAATTTGCTTAAATAAAAAGAATAAAAAAGCTTAAAAATTAATTTTTATCTATTTTGCGTTTATAATGACTTCATTATAACACCGCTTTCGGTGATGTAATGAGATACTTTATACCACCCAAAATTTTGATTTTATAGGTTGACTATACTTTAAACAGCTAATATTTTGCATATTGGTTATAATAATTTTATGATTTTTCTAGTACTTACGAGACTTTTCTGGCAATAAATTTTGTTTGACACCAAAGAAAAATTTTCTTCTTTAACATTAACAGCCGCTTATTGTAAATAAGTAAATTAAGGACGGCATGGCGAATCGATTTTGACATTAACTGTCAAACCAATGACTGTGATACCAACTGTCTAAAGTAAAATTCGACCAAATTAAATTTAAGGTTAAAAAATTAATTTTTTTTTTATAGAATTTTTGCAAAATAGATAAAATAGCATAAGAAACTTATGCCATAAGACCTTTTGTCGTCTTATGACATTAGTTCTTTAATAAACTATTATAATATTTAATTTAAAAAAATATATTTATGAAATATTTATTTTTTTAAGTTTGTCTATGAAAAACCGTTAACTTTGCACACCTGTGATTTGATAATCAGAAGTAAAGAAGCAAAATCGTTTACAAGTTAATAACTATATATTATATTACTATAATTTAGTAAAATTTGAAAAAGATGGTAAAAGTTAACATTTTTTCGGTGGTGCGATTGGGAAATTTTGCCCCATATAAATATGAAAACAAACCTTTGGTTCATTTTCGAGATTATGATTGTTTTGAGTAGGTTAGTACACGAAAGTTCAATATCTACACACACTAATATACAATATAAACGTCAACGACTATGTCAATTCAATGTACTAAGTATTTAAAATTTTTAATAAAATTTCACGGGTTACTTTGCACATGCATGAGTAGTGCCAGGAACTATAGTGAGCAATATTCTGCATATAAATATTATTTCCAATAGTTTATTGAGTGCGCATCAAAGGTTACCTACTGTTTTATTTTCTCCGTGTATACAAACCTATATTAAATATTTATAAAATTAATTAGAAAAATTCTCAAAAATTGTTAAAGAACACATCTAAAATTCAACAATGTTTTGAGGAAACTATACTATACAAAATTAACATTAAAAATGAGTTGGGACTCGAAACCCTCAAATTATGTCACTTTAAGTAATATTTGGTAAAATTTAATTTAATTTACATATAACATACATACAGGGTGATCCCCTATAATGTCGCCCCATTTAACTTTTTTATTTTTAATTTAGGTATATGGTTTGTTATATAAATTATGCTTAGAATTTTACAAGGAATCAAAAAATAAATACATTTATAGGGTGATTCATTGAAAAAAAATAAACTTTTTGTTTTTCCCCTGTATACTGATCAATTTTCCAATTTTCGACATTTAAGTTTTTTCTCTATCATTTTTGTGTTGGAGCTAATGTTTTTTAATAAAAAAAAAATGTTTTTACCTTTTAAAACAATCATATTCACCCAAGCAAAAAAAAACAGGTGGGCGACATTCATAAAAAACTTAGATTTATGTAATATTAAGCAAACTTTTAAACTTATTCAAAATCGGTTAGTAGGTACTAGTTCGGTTATTATGATTTTGTGGAACACTTAAAAAATAGCTACATGAGCACGAGATACCTAACAATAAAAAGTAAGTATTGTTTTATTCAAAGTACCTAAAAATAGTTGAGTATGCAAAACAAAAAACAATTATCAACAAAGTAATAATGATAATATAAATGTGCAGGCACATTTTGCAACAACCCCTTAAAGGATGACAACTTATTTGGTGACACCCTATATAAAAAACACCATAATTATAAATTCAATTTATTTAAACCGAACATTCCCACAACTCCTATCCACGCGTAAAACTTTCCCATCGGCAGGAATCCTTGTTCTATTAAATAAAAACCGAAAGTAAAAAGGGAAAAAATAAAGAAGATCTGATTTGATTTTATGAATGGAGCGAGCAGCAGAAGCACAAAACGAAAGGCGCCTGCGAGAGAATTAAATAAAGAAGCACCGAAAGAGATCCAAGCCAACTAGATCCTTTATGAAAAAGATCATTACCGATTCGTATTACCGTGTTGACTTGACCGTGACTTTCATAGTCAACACCATGCACTATGGAAACAAATTATGCAGCTAACCTATTCAATCCCACAATAAAAGTTACTTGGAAAATAATTAATAGTTTTACATTCCTAGAAGTTTACAATTAAAAATCATCAAGTATTTATTAATAGCATTTAAATAATGCATTTTTTAGTTAAACCCTATTATATATGTCCCAAGTTTATGTATTTAAATGCTTTAAAAGCTTAACCAAAATGTTTGAGCTTATTTAGAATATTTTACCCAAAAAATCAAAATGTAATATAATTGAACTAAAAGCAACTTGTATATAAAATGATAAGCTATGAATTCTATTTATTTTTTATTTGTTGAAAAAATGTGTAAATATGGTATATTTTTGTCCCATAGTGCAAATAAGTGCTAGTAAATAAATTTTCCAGTTAACAAAACGTAAACGTAATAAAATTAGTGTCTAAAAAATTTTATCAACGATTTGCATACTATACTTCTTCGACGAAAAATACTATTACTAATGAAATAAAATATTTGCAACATCTATTCAAAAATTAAGTAACCAAATTGGTGTTTTTACCGCCTTATAAAAGCAGTTTTTTAGAGTGAAAGTGGAGAGAATGTTTTATCGTCAGGTACTCTACCCGAAATTTTACAAATACTGCCGGCGAAATCAATTAGTGCATATAATAGTATATTATGTATCATGTTTAATAAACGCAATTTTAGTCACGAATTTAATTTAGAAAAATTTATAAACAAAATACAAACTATACTTTTTCTACGGCAAATACTTAATATAATAATAATAGATAATAATAATAATAAAAAATAATAAAAATAGATAATTATCTAAAAAATTATTTGAAAAAATATTTGTATAAAGCGACATCTATAAGACAATACAATTCATTATAATTAGAACCAATAAAATGCCAGTATTCCATAGTTACGCATTTTATCACAGCGGCAATATTTTTTATCACCTTGTTTATACGTTGCTAAGGATTTTGACACTTTTCTTGATTTGACATTTGTTGACATTTAAATACTGTGTTTGTTAAATGATTAAAATAATGAATTATAAACTCTAAAAGATCGATGGGTTGGTGTAAACGATAATAAAAGTAAGGTAAGTTTGAATAAACAAGGTTTATTAAAGTCTTTTTATATTTTTAAGGATATTTTAATTTCAAATGCCAAACTAACAATTCGTTAAATCCTAAGATTCATTATATTTTCTCACTAAATATAACTCGTGGTATGATTAATTATCGATGACATTTACTCAATGAAACCGAAGCAGCACATTTCACTCGTCCTGCGGACTCGTGAAATCTGCAGCTCGGTTTCAATTCGAAAATATCATCGATGATAATCATACCACTTGTTATATTATGGGTGAAAATAAACTAACCATCCCAATAAACATTTTTAACGTAGTTTTCATTGTCCGTTATTATTTTAATTAAACAATTATTGATACTTTAAAATATTAAAATAACTTCAAAATTTAATTATGATAAAAAATATGTCATCCTTTGATTTTTTTTTACTATAATTGCAAGATATTATCACAAACTATTAAAAATTCTTACGCAGGAAATAAAAAAGTGGCAGTTGGATTTATTGGCGTTAAAATCTCAAATTTGTCTGTGTAAATCAAAATGTATCCCTTGAAAATAGACTAAAAATCGATATATACGCAAAATTTTGAACACTTTATTAGTTAAACCTAGTTAACTGCAGTACTAAGGCGAAATCAAAATGTCAGTACAAACGTTCATATAATCTTTTCAAATATTGGCGACAAAAAACTATTTAATACTTTTGTATTTTTGTATTGAGATAATAAAATAATTTTAACATTTAGTATTATTTTACAACAAAGACACTTTATTTTAACGATTGTGTGACATTTGACAATTGTCAACTAACTTAAAGCTAACTTCAGCCCATGACTGAAGGGCCATAAAGTCATATCTTGACAATATGTATTTAAAAGATTAATTAGTGTCATGGAAACATGTACGGTTTTAAAGGTGGGAGTGGAATTAAATAATAATTTATTGGTATGTAAGGTTCTAAATTTCGTAAGAATTTTTTAATGCTAACTTTGAAGAGCGTACACTTATTATTCTTAGATATGCTTATGGAATAACAATTATTTGGCTTATCGTTAATCGAAGATATGTTCGATTATGTCCTTGTATTTCTATTGTATTTTTGGTGTCATAAGTATTGTATAATATAATTAAATAATAAATCAGGCGCATAGCGAAAGCGAAGACCTACAAATATAAAAAAATTGAACTAAAAATTATTATCTTTCTTAGTAGGCTGAATTTGAATGTGGCAACAAAAGTTATCGAAAACAATTCCAAAAGTATTTTAAAGAGGAAGATTAGTACTAACGATTTTTGTGAAGAAAAAATACCTTGTACTATCACTTTTTGGTTAGAATTTCTCGAAATCCTGACCTGATGAAGCAAAACTGACTACAGATTTAAATGCAGCACACCAAATTGCTGAAGGAACAGCATTTGGTTGATCTAATTCAAAACCTGGTAGACTAGTTTTATCAAACTGAAAGGTCCACCTAAAATTACAACCAAATGCTGTTTCTTCCGTAAATTGGTGTAAAACATGACAAGACATCTCATTTTTAATACCCTTTATATAAATAATATATTAAACAACTATTTTTTTATTAGTGGGCAAATAAATTATAACTACTCGTAGAATAAAAATTGTTCCTATCGAATACTTTCACCTACTTTAAAATTTGATTTATAATAGATAGACAATCTTTAAAATTATATAAATTCCCGAGCATTTTTTGTATATGTGTAATAAGAAGGTTATTTATGAATATAAAATAAAGGTGTGTATGCAGAAATAATTTATTTTAGGTTCTATTGGTTAAGCAACTACAAGAAGCACATTTTTAAAAGGTTACTAGCATCATTAATTTTTTATCCAACTTAATTATGACAGGTCAATATTGCAACAATATTAAATGAAATAAGTTTTGTAATGAAGGTATAAGGAAATAAAAGTAAAATGTAATTAAAATATGATCAAATTATAGTTATACAATTTGTTTTCAAGTTTGAAAATAGGAAATAGTCACATGGTGTATAAAGAAACAAGTTGCTCATTGTGTTGAACTGTTTAACTTGAACATAAAAATTGTGTTGGGACTTCAGTGTTCCTTGGAAAGAAATAGTTAAAAGTGGGAAATAAGTATATTTATAAATTTCTCATCGGTATTTGTTAGAATGTAAAAAGATAGCATGAGCTCCTTCGTTATGCGGCGCACTTGTGAAATATAACGAGTGAGCGTTATAAAGAAGGCGAAAACAAAAGCCACTGCGAGCGTATACATGAATGTACACGGGGTAAATAGTGCACTATGGTCTCGAACAAAAAACTTAATGCACAAAAAATTGTAATAACAATATGGATAAAAAAATTCACACGAACAAATTAAAATGTATAAAATAATAAACTATGGTTACAATACAACTATAGTTGTACTATAGTATTTCATGAAAATAATGTACATATTGTGTCCCGAAAATAGTTCACTATCCCCATATAATGCCAAAAGTTGAGAACAATTCTGTGGGTAAAAGGCATAAGGGGATAAGTCAAAAAAAGCAATTTTTCAGTAGAGCCTTAAACGTATTCGCATTAATTCAGGAAACATATTTATGGTTAGCGGGTATACCCTTTTGTTACCACATGTCATATGCTAACAAAAGCGTATACCCGCTAAACATAAATATATTTCCTGAATTAATGCGATCACGTTAAAGGCTCTATGGAAAAATTCCTTTTTTGACTTATCCCCTTATGCCTTTTACCCACAGAATTTTCTAAGCAAGTTTTAATACAAACTGTCATAAACATCTGTTAATCAAATCAACCTCAGCAGCCTAATTTAAATTGTTCCCATAGCAACCAATTTTAAATATACAAAAAAAAATATTTTTCTTACTACCTCGACTCAAAATACGTTGTTTCGTCCCCGATTCCACGGCAGAAAGTTTACGTTTCTTGCATTGGTCAATCTATATGCGCACACTCTAATAGCGGGAGTAAAATTTGTTTAGTCGTGTGCTTAAGATTCAAATTTCGTACTGCCAACATGAGAAACACAAAAATATGACAGTTTTAAACCATAATTTTGCAATTATAACAACAAATAAACAATTTATGTTTTTACTTTTTTACTTTTTATGTTGTTTTAATTGTTTAATGGTACTTTTATTTGTTATAAAGTAGTAATTTGTTAATTAAAATAAAACGTTTTATTTTTACTGTATTGGCACCGCTGAATTCACGGCCTACTGATATTTATTTATCAAGCTCTTCAAATGGAGATAGGTACTATCGCTAACAAAAAAAACTCATACAGCTTAAAAATCTAGTGTTCCTGATTTTCTATCATTTCGTTGGAGTAATTATGGCTTTTAACATGATACGTCACATTTGAAAGGTCTAAAATTAAATACAAAGTTAGGTTGAAGTTTGAAAAAAAAAAATATTTCGTCATCCCTCTGTTTTTGTCAATTACTGCCCGCAAACGGCAAAGCATGGAAGTCGCCGTCTTGCTTTATCTCGTTCCAAATGGCTTTAATGGCTTGCCAGAGTTCGTCTGCATTGTTTGGTTAAAAATGTTAAAAAAGTCATAATGGATGTGACAAAGCTCGATGTCAGCTTGACATTGACGGAAAAGTTTTATTCACACAGCCACAATATAGCTGTATGAGTTTTTTTTGTTAGCGATAGTACATAAATACACATTTAATTTTTTCCCGTATTTTCGGCCGGGTTGTATTTTCGGCCGAGGTAGTAAGAAAAATAGTAAACACTACACGGGCAGAAAGTGTGAGAGTCCTGAACTGCGCGCCATGATGCCCTCGGCTTCGCCTCGGGCATCATGGCGCGCAGTGCAGGAATCTCACACTTTCTGCCCTTGTAGTGTAATATACTATTTTCTACTCCCACCTTTAAAACGCCCTTTATCTTACATGTTTCCATGACAACAAATAAACATTGACAAGTTGTGGCTTTTAAATATGGCGCTTTAGTCACAGGCTGAAGTTAGCAACAGGATTTTAGTCACGGACTAAAGTTAGTTTTAAGTTAGTGTGTCATACAATCGTTAAAATAAAGTGTCTTTCTTGTAAAATAATACTAAATGTGAAAATTATTTTATTATGTCAATACAAAAATACAAAAGTATTAAATAGTTTCTTAACGCCAATATTTGAAAAGTTTTTATGAACTGACCTTTAAATTTCGTCGGCAGTAAACTATAACTAAAATTCGGGCACGGACTCCACTGTAGAGTGCTCATTAAACATTTTCTTTACTTTCACTGTGAAAAACTGTCAATTTTCAAGAAATACATTTCGATTTACCTATAACCCTTATAATCTGTGTTTATAAAATTTGAAATTTGACGGTGACACACAGATTCCCCTATTGTTTCATAGATGGCGCTCTATACAAATTTTTTATTTAAATCATTTTAAGATAATAATAAGTATTTGTCGTAGAAAAAGTATAGTATGCACCTTGTTTATAAGCTTTTCTATTCACTCATTAATTTAAGCACTCGCTCGCAAGCTCTCTCGTACCTAAATTAAATTCGTGTATAAAATGGCGTTTATCAAACTTGATACATAATATACTATTTTACAACATCAAGTCACATTGGAGAAAAGTTACAAGTCTATTAAAATGGAATTTGAAAATTGGAAAAAATATGAGCAGAATAATTTAAAACTTAAAACTCAAAACCAAAAATCGTGAAAAAAGTCACCTTCACATGTAAATTTACACATTTATCTACATTTTCATAAAATTTGCTATTTTTTTCGTCGAGAAGATTTTGAGTAACCATGGTTAGATAGAAAAAAACAAGGAAACCAACAATGTATCAAATTTAAGTTATGGTGGCCATTATAAAAACAAAATATGGTGAGTTAACTCAAAACATAGTAGGGCAAAAATTGGATAAAAATGTAGATTAATTGGTACACATTGTTTATGTTATGACTATTTTTTTGTATTTTAAGAACCACAGTTTTTTTCAATTTAATAAAAAAATATCTATGAAAGGATAAACAATGTCATAGAAAAATACGTACTTGATGCACCGAAAAATTTAAAAAAATCATTAACACTTGAGGGTATAAGTGCAGCTGCAGCTGTCTTCTTAAGCAAAAATACAGTATCTACAATATTAAGTACCTAATAAAGAACAAAACATAATAAACCATTAAAATCAAATACCTATATGTAAAAATTTAGCATATAAAAATATGCTATTAATAAAAAACAAAAAAAAGAAAATAACAAAAATAGATAAATTAGCTGTGGTTATAATTTTTGTCCATTTTAAAAAAGATTTTGAGCTAGGGTGCGGTATGTTGTTGAAAAGATCAGCCGTAATGAGCGCATAGATCCAAAGCTTTGTGCAAAGGAGGCCGATGCGATTTGCAATCAAAAGACAAACAAAACAAAATAGAAGATAATTCAACTTGCCTAGATAAAAATATCGCTTTCTGACCTGCCAAAACAAACAAAAAACAACCACTTGCCAGGAGATGTCCATACAATTTATAAAGTAGGTACCCAACCACTCGCATGTGTGTACATATGTATGTGTGTATATCTGAATAACATATACCTTTCAAATTGCGTTTTATTACATTGATTTAAGACCTACAATTTGATATTTGTTTTATAAAAGTAAAACTATTTTAAATCGCTTATAAAAAATATCTAATGCCAATTTGTAACAGTATAAGGAGAAAATATTAACTGGCTTGAAAATAAAATCCAACTATAAAACTTACATTATGTATTTAAAATGGCGAATGCGCCGCTATAAAGAATCGTTTAAATTTTATTCGAGACCATTTATTCGCCTCAAAGGCTCGTTTAATAAAAGCAGAAGCACAATTTATCTTAATATCACGCAGGAACATAAACTTAGTACAAGCATAATTTGTATCTGAATTTTAAATGTTTATTTAAATAGTTCAGGTGCAAGAGGATGGCGTACCGCGCACCGCTGTGAAGAAGCGATAAAAATGAAAAAAAGAAGAAAGATGAAGAAGAAGCAGAATAAATCCTTTTGACGCGACCCGAGGGTACACCAAAGCAAGGTTTACTGGGATAATTCATATTTCTACAATGTTTCTAAATGCTACACTTGTCCCAAGATGGGAAGCAACGATTTAGAAAGTCCTTTACAATGTTAAAACAATAATTTTTGTAAAAAAGTAGCAAGAAAATCCTTTATAAGTAGGGGGAATTAAGAAAAATTAAGGAGGTGGAAAAATTAAAACACCCCTATTTGGGATAAGAAAAAATAAAAATAGCCATTATTCAACCTAGGAAGGCCTCTAACCTGCATATTATCTAAGTGAAATAAAATATTAGGGTAAAGTAGACAGTTATAATACTGTACAAACAAGAGTTCTATAAATAGTTACCTTAAAATCAAATCATTAGATGACGCTGTATAAAATTATAACTATTTTAGTCGGTAATAATATAGAACTACTTTATTTTGGGTCCAATATAGGACAAAAAAGTTCGCACGTTACTTTGGTGGTAAGATTTTTGTTTTTTTTTGTTAAGAGCAGGGCTGTATTTAAATTACAATAACAATATTTCTAAAAAGTGTACAGATCAGTGTGTGATAAATGTGTTCTTCATGGTTTAATCATTGTCACTTTAATGTGTTTTAATTTTAACTCTGAAAACAAACAGTAAAATGGCCAGTGTCCAATTACTGGTTGGTAAAAAATGTACTCTCTAAAAATGAATTAGTCAAAAATGACTAATTTAATAGTTATTAGTGGCTGCTTTTTCAATTGTACAATGGTTAACCATGGTATTCAAGTGAAAAAGCAGCCACTAATAACTATTAAATAGTCATTTTTGACTAATTTATTTTTAGAGAGTAAATTTCTATTATTGGACATGTCCAATATCATTTTCTATTTATATCCCGGATATTTACCAGCCAATTCTTATGTAAAATTGTCCCCTGAATCCGAAAAGACCGTCAAAAACTATAAAAGTTAAAAAGTTTTTGAGATATAGTCAATTCCATATTATATGTAAATTTGTTCTACTTTTTTAACTTTGACGACATTTTCGGATTCAGCGAATATTATTTCATAGGAATTGACTGCTCAATGTCCTGAATACAACAAATTGCTGTTGACGAGAGTTATTAGTGGCTCCTTTTTCGCTATGACATTTTTGACTAATACATTTTTAGAGAGTAAGAAATATAGTGATTTCTTAGTCACAGGACATCTTGCAGAATAACAGTGATTTAAATAGAGAACATAAAAAACTAATGGCAACAAAATAAATAAATTCGGAAAATACTTTTAACATACCACCCGAAAAAATATTAGATATATATAAATCATACTGTTCCGGCCTGAGATTTTAACGCAGGTATATTCCCAAGTTAGAAATTCTAACGGGAATTCCAGTAAATACAACTGTCACTTTTTGTACCTTTAACAATTCCCGTGTACACTGTTTAAAATATCTGTGGTGTAAAGGGTAATCTAAAAATGGTGTCTAAATCCAACAACAATTGGTGTTAATATAAACACCATGAATTATGGTTAAAAATATTATATACAGCAAACACCAAAACGGTGTTTATCTAAAAATATTTGATCTTTTAGAACTACTGAGATGTACACTTTACACCTAGTATGATTTAATTTAACCAAAAACACTAAAAAGGAGTTTAATTTACACCAGGCAAAATTTATTTTGATACTTGAAAGTTAAATTTACACTATTTTAGTATTTGAATTTACACTGGACCAACGAACCATATTTAACACCATTTTGGTTTGTATCGATATAGACCATGAATGGTGTTAATTTGGTGTAAAATGGTCATGAAATTTTGAACAGTGTAATGATATTTGCAACGAAATTATCTAAAACAGCAATATATTTTTAAAAAATATTTAACAATTTATGTTATTTGATGTAAAGTTGTTATGTTTATATAAAAATTGTATGTCCAATAACTATGGTCCATGTGTCCAATTACTATATAAAATGTCCAATTACTATACTATACAACATGTTTGTTATAATTACAAACTACTTATTCAATTAGTTAACAGATTACAGCTGGTTGTAAACTTAACATAAAGTTATGTGGACCTGGATTAACATAAAATCTGGTTAATATTTGGTTAAAATTAACAAATATTTTTTTACTGTATAAGTCGGCCTAAAATCTTATTTTGAAGTATTTTTAAAAATTATTGTTTAAATAGTGGCTTATAACAACGATGAAGAAGAAGCTGCAGCAGTAGGGAGGATGAAAAAAAAAACAGGAGCAGAGAGAGTAGAAATAGGTGGAATGAATCCTTTTGACGCAACCCGAGGGTGATATTTATGAAGTGGGTATTCACGGCATCCGCCAGTATCAGATGTGACCGCGGAGAAACAAACAGCTTGACAAACTGGGCGGCCTTCAGAGTCCTTGTGGACCAGACCGACACTTCATCTACATCTAGACGACGATCTAGAGCTACCACTGTTTTACTATTTTTTTAACAAGTTTTAAACTGTGTTGGTATATATTTCTCAAGCTTTAAGTGTGACACTAGGTTTTCTCTATCAGTTTAAAGTCTAAAGGAGCAAGAGTTTATAGCTAGATTTTCGTTATTTACTTTCAAAACAATAAAAATTTTTATTTATCATACGCTAAAGAAGTATCGCTAGTAGCGCCACCAGTCGACTGTTATCATCGTAACAAATGTACGACTTTTAATAATCAGATATCAAACGCTTATGTTACAAACGAGTGTTTTTGAGAATAAAGCCAGACAATATTAAATTAATCTGAATGAAGAAATACATTGCATACAGTCTCTGTAAATATAAATTGTACCTATTAAATACAATAAATACACATTTTAGTAGTGATTCAATAAAAATCGTCAAACAAATAAGTCGTCTAAATTTAAATAGCATTTAGCATTATTAAAATCGTTGATTAAAAATTCTTTAAAGTCTCCACTCAACGGTAAAATACCATTATATTATGTATTATATATAATATTATGTTGCCATGAATTCGTAGGTATATTTTGTTGTTTAAAATGCAGTTGTCGGCGTTTTTAGAGAACTCAAATATAAAAATTATTGATTTTTAGGTTATGTTTGTGCAAAAATGATTTTTTACTAATTTCTTAAAAATGTCCAAACTTAAATATAAATTATATTAGGTAAAGTTATCATTAGTTAATTCTGCACCAACAAATGTACTTACCGAATTGGATCCTTTGGCAAAACATGAAAATGCAACGATTTAGTTATTGATTTTTATTGACAATTAAAATCACAATAATTGACCCTGATCCCTTTGTTAAAATTCACACACTAACGTAACTATATAAGCATTTAAGCGTTGAGTTTCTTAATCAATGATATAAGGAATAATCAATCGAAATCGAGTATACTAAAAAAGGTTTTTTAATTTTTTCCTTGCAACGTAAAACACAAATAACGTGCGCGATTTAGCTGTGCAATTGAACAAAATTTGTCGAGTAAGACTTCTGCCTTCCTCTCTTTTATAAAACAAACTACCTATTTATTTTAAAATAATGTATACTCGGTGCTTTAAATGTATTGTTGACAATTCTTAAATTCACGCAATGCATTCAAAGTCCACCAGATGGCGCGCGCTTTGCGAAAACCCGATTCTTCTTTAGCGTATATAGAACATACAAAAAAGTAAAATTTCATTTAATTTCTGTCACGAAACATTTTGGCTAAAATATATTTTTGTATCGTACCCGTAACCTCTGTTACTAATCACTGTAAAGTTTTTGTAAAAAAATCAACAAAAATGCACATCGTATAAGTCTATTAAAAAAAGTAACTTTTAAACTTTTCACAAATTGCAGAATTTTTGAATTAAAATTTGCATGCAATAACATAAAATTTTACATCTTTTATCAAGTTTAATTGCTGATATCTTAAGAAACATTAATTATATCATAATAGAAAAAAAAACGATTTGGTAACAGCATAAAACAAATTTATGCAGCACTGTGTAATTTAAAAATATAAATAACTATTTAAGTCATCAAATTCTCATTAAAATAGAAAACGAAATTAGTCAATAAATCACAGAAATCAGTGGGTGGCATTGTACAAAAATTCTCCAAATTTCCAGTACATAAAAAAACTAATAATCGTTCATTCAAAGTAATTTATTGCTTAAAACTTCTAATTAAAAGTCCGCACAATTATTGTATCTTTATGTTTTAGGTTCATTACTGTTATTTTTATTGGTAAAGTTCAAAGTTTTTTCTGATCTTACCAAAAGAAACATCATAGCTATAATTTGTTAATAAAAATCAGTGGCGCTGCTAATTCTTTTTCAATAAGCATTAATGGTAAAATTTAATTAGAAAATAATGATAATAGCAGATGATATACTATAAGAATATTTTGTAGGCCAAGGCCGTAACCAAGCAACATTTATTATCAAAATTCTTTTTATTTAGGATTCCAATTTCCAACAAATACTTTTGCTACTGGGTCTACAAAAAGGTTTGTAAAAATAAAGTCCTTTTTGAAAATTAAAAGAATTGTGATTAAATTATTGACTTAGAATTTTGTTATTAAATCTACAAAATGTCTGTTATAATAAC